ACTAATCATTTCATTTAAACGATCATAAAAGGTGGACAAGAGTTTTTTTGTATAATACAAAAAGAAATAAATGTAAAAATGAAACATTAGGGCGTCCCACATACAAAATGATTTATTGCATGATACGAATCGTTGCAGGCTTAATTTAGTACAGCAACTAAGTGCCTGTGCCATTAACAAAACACTTATAGGCATAGGGGATTAGAATTTCCAAGCAATCAATTTATTTAAAAATAAAGACCAGTCCGAATAAAATGTTTGTATACGAACGCGATCTTCTTTCGAGTTGCACTTGCAGTTCATTGACACACTGTGCACCGAATCGTTGGAAATCAGGCCAGTGCCCCGCGAAGGGACACGCGTGCCCCTTCCCTTAACAATTCCGATCTATTAAGCGTAATTACTTCGTTCGCCGGTCGGCCAAGAATACATCGGGACGGTTAAACGTGAACTTGTGACGTCATTTGGTGACATGGACACCAGGACAGACACACGTTACAATCCTCTATTCTATGGCGTGACCGTGCCGTTTTAGACCAGCCTGCAACAAAGTTGCGATTTCCTTCGTGGCTAGTCTTCGCCGCAGATTGCACATAAGAGGCGGTGGTCGTGCCACTTTGTCAGGCATATCTGGATCAAATCGCGAGCCAGCATCGTCGGGTTCGCAAACCCGTCTAGCGAGCTACCCGAAAAACCGTTACATCCAGTTTTTCAAACAACGAAAAGAATACTAATGCCCGTGGAATTATGCGACAATGGAACGAGCGGCTCAAAGACGATACAGGAAACGTTACTTATTTCATTTCTAGGGATAGACTTGAACTGAAGAAGGGACTTCGAAAATATGCTTAGCAAAATGATAAGAGATGATTTACATGGATCTGTTCGTTGTCGATCGTTCAGTTTAGACTTAAATGTCTGCTCAAAGACCGAGGAAGATTAATCGGTCACTTTTCTCGCTTAAAAAATCGAAATGGGAGATAACAAGCCATCATGCTTGCATTGAACGTTAAATAAAGGGCAATTTTCATGGTTGCTAGATCATGCGTGTCTCCATATCCAAGCTATGACGTCCAGTGGACACGTTCATCGCGAAATGCACGACTTCCGGTAAAGACTAATGCATCAGAGATTGCATCTGCCTGAACAAAAGCTTGTTTCAATAGCCTGATAATAAAGAAACATAATTTAACGGACATATATACTACATATATTCTATTAAACACGTTAGTCTAGAGAGAATAGAATAGGGAATGCCTTGAAATACTACGGAACACTTAGACAAGCATTTAATTAAACCGACCATAAACTGTCTGAATCGAGTTTCTTCGTGACTGCATCGAGTTTGTCAACTCAATTAGCTTATTCTACCTGCTCAAAGATTAGATTCCTTCGAGACCAGAATTCCAGATTTATTTAATTTCGAGGTCAATGGCTGCGATTATTAATATCTTCGACAAATCATATTACGTTTGCGTTGTCTAAGTTCCTTTCTATCCCAACCAGGAACATTCGACGCTATCTCGTTTATGCGATTTTAATATTCTCACTACCTCCGTTTTCTACTAATTTATTTATCTCAAACGTTTCACTAATTTCACTTCATCCGGTTGCAGCATACTTGTTCACTAGATTGAAAAATAACAGGGCTTGGATGAAGTGAAATGAATGAACCGCGTAAAGAATACAGATGAATCAATGGCAATTTTGAAGTTGCAAGGACAAGACATCGTCGATCGTTTTCGACAGCATTTGATCGTTATCAAATTGAACTTTCTCATCCATCCACCGCGCACCACCTATCAATAGAAGAAATAATATAAAGACAACAGGAATATTTCAGAGCTTTTTTTACATTATTTTGAATCTTTCGAAGCTACTAGAAGAAGAAATACGTCTTTGTTCAACTCTTGTTCTGTACAATTGAATCAGACAATCCTTATTTCGCATAAAAGTCCACATGTCACCTATCACAATGACTTCGTAACGCTGCCACAACTCACGAATAGCAAAAAAATGGATCGTGGAGGGGTGGAACAGTTGTCAGCCCGTGATGTTGCACGTCAATCACGATTAATGAAATGCACGCACCCGGCTGTCGCCGGATCATAATTCTCCCACCTAAGCTACCTGGCTGTTCTATTTCCATTCGAACAGTTCTCCCGCGATCGTCCATTATTTTCGTACCGAGTCCACCGTGAAAACGGCCGGCCGCCCTAAACGATGGGGTAGATCGCAAAGCAAATGAACGTTGCCGAAACGAGCCGAATCCGGAAGGAGGAGGTCCCGGTCGTTGCCGAAAGGAAGTTCCGTTGCGGCGGCGGCGGCTGCGGAATAATCATCGGCCGCGACGATAGTCAGTCAGCGATGACAGTCAGCCAGCGATGGGGTTGGCAGCGGTGCGGCGCGACGGCAGGGGGCGAAAAGAGTGACTCATCGTTGAGCCAGGCCAGGCCTGGCCTCGCGAGGCTGCAGGTCAGGAGAGGAAGACACTTTTAGCCCACATTTCTTCCCAGCCCCCTCTCGTTACCGGCGTCTTCCTTTATTTTTACCCCGGACCGTTTATTCGCGGGTTACCCGTCTTCCTCTCCCTCGCTCTCGCTTCCTCCTCGACGCCATTTTCCTACTTTCCCGGAGACACCAGCTGTGCAGCCCTCGACGAGGACACTTGAACAATGCTTATCCTAACCGACGACGTGTTTACCTTGACGATTACACTTTTACTACTGCCGGCGCACTTGCGGATCGTAGAGCAAACTCTTCAGCTTTTGACTTCGTTGCACTTGTTACTGCACCCTTGGAAGTTCTCGGTTTTAGGATTATTCGATGGAGAAGCCTTGGTGGAGAAGTTTTGGTAGCCTTGCTAGGGAATCGTTTCGATTTTTGTGACTAAAGAACCGCTTTTATTAATAAGATAGTATGAGGCTGGAGTATAGCAGTCGCTTTTTAAACGACCAGCTTCAAATACTTCAAAGAAATTAGTTAACTTGTACCTTTGAATTTAACAGATTACTTCACTTTTAGGTTTACTCTTAATTCTTGATGCATTTTAATCCTTTGCACTCGAATGACGACTCTGAGGCGCCATCGAAAATTAATGCAAAATTCAAAATAACTTCAACATCGTCGAATGTGTTTATATTTTAAAAAAAAAACACTGTGCGAAGCGTAATTGTTGCTCGAGTCACATAATTCAATGTCGCATGTACAAAATGCAGTAAGCTATTTGAAATGAGAATGCTATAGATCAGAGAAACTATTTTAGATTTCGAGTTGAAAATAGCTTCGAGCATTGTATCCATACCTTAATAATTCCAATAAATCCTGTACAGGTAACCACAGATTAAAGTACCCAGACCAGGGATACCTGTACAAGTTCTCCGTCTCGAGTAATGTCTCAGAGCACTAAGACAATTGGTATTTATTACAAGCAGAAGGGTTGCTAGCAGAACGCTGCGAGCATAGAGGGTGTCCAGGGATTTTCGGAGTAGCTTGGCACACGGCTCGCGTTTCTTAAGACCGGAAGACTCTCAAGACGGCTAAGGCAGTCTCGCTAGGGCTTCGAAAACCGCACGAGAGACAGACCAAGAGTGTGCAGGATCGTGATTCTATCTCTCTCTTTCTCCCTGGGTCGAAGAATCTGCTAAATTCGCTGAAAATCAGCTGCGTTTCAGGTTCCCGGACTGCTTTGCCCCCCGGCAAACAGTGTACAGGTTTAGAGACGTAGTAGTACGCGGAAGTATGGCGGACCTGCTGCGCGAGGAGGTTTATTAGCTCGTGGTTTCACGAGAAATCGGTTCTGTGTACACAGTACCGCGATTCCGCCTGGCAGGAGGCTGAATCGTTGCATTGTGCTCTCCTCCCCCACCTCGGCATTGTGCGCCGGGAAGATAAATGAAATTTCTGTCCGGCTGTTTCCCCGGTTATTCGCGAATGCCGAACAGAGAAAGTCTTCTCTAGAAAGATTTTCGGCGACCTGTCGAACAATGGGATTACAAGGAGAACCGTTACGACCGGGCCCCGCCATCTTGGTAGACGCCTTTTGAGACCTGACGCGGTCACTGGTCGCCCTAATTACGCGCGCACGGTTTTGCGGCGTTTAGCACTCGGTAATGTGCACTCCTCCTTACAAGGTTTACACTGTACAAATACGCTGGTTCGTGGAATACTGCTTTTGATGGATCCATTTGGTGATTCCAGGAACAGAGACACGATTCCGTTATTCAAAGACTCCGAAGTTAGCATAATAAATAGAGGCTAGAGCCGTTCTCTCGTCGACGCAACAGGGCGGTTCAACGAGATCCAATCGTTCAGAAATCCCTGAGCGAAATTCGGTAGCAAACAGCACCTGCTCGCAGGGTGTCAGGGTTTTCCTAGTAACCTGATGCTCTGGCCCGCCAGTTCCCACGATAGTGACTCGAGCTTGTCTTGGTATGGTTTGACATAAAACACCGGGATATTCTAACCGGGACCATCATCTTTGTAAGCTTCGGAGAGTTTTGCATCAGTCGATGTACCTATTATTTCCCACGAGATCTTGTCTCGGTTGACAAAAGCAACGATTCACGATCACTAGGGTACTGGTGCCATTTACTGTGGAGTGATCAATTGCTGTGTCTTTGGTTTATTTTGGGGCATAATTAGTTTTGTATTCATGAAATAAAACGTATTACATTTTTTTATTCAAATATGAACTCAGTAAAAGAATGCAAAAATTGTCTTATTCGATAAATATGAAGTTAATCATGCCCGAAGACAAACCAAAGGCACAGCAATTGGTTACCACATAGAAACCAGCACCGCTTAGGTTTAAGTTATATTCTAGATCGTAGTTGGTAAATGTTTCTCGCAGGTTTTCAATCTTTCATGGGCCCTGTTTTGTAACTTCATTAAACTGTCTAGAACAGTTCAGGAACGTAACAATCGTAAATGAGCAAAAAAAGTAACTCTTGTTCTGGAAGACCGAAGTTCTAACCGAGCACCTTTCTGCTTCGTTCTAGGTGGACACAAAGAATTTCACAGGCGGCACAGAGATCTCTGCGAGGACACGTTGCTCCCAGCAGGCGGATCGGGTTCGTCGGCAGTCAGTGGTTGCCCCAGTCCCGGACCAGGTTGTCCAGTGTTGAGTTTATCTGGTCCACCAACCCCTCAACCCGCTGACATCGACAACCACCCTGCGTCACGAGTTCTGCCCTTCCTTTACCTTGGGAACGGCAGGGACGCGGCAGATCTTCAGCTTCTTCGAGCAGTGGGCGTCACTAGGGTCCTCAATGTCACTTCACAGTTGCCTGGTTATCACGAGGAGAGGGGTATCACCTACAGGCAGATCCCTGCCTCGGACTCCGGTCATCAGAACCTTAAACAGTACTTCGAGGAAGCCTTCGACTTCATCGGTTAGTGGCCTTTGATTTCTCTTTTAGCAGCAGGTATCTTGGGTTCCTGTTGGGATGGTGTACGAATTAGGCAATCTCATAATGGGAATTTCTTTTACGTCTTCAGAAAGTAGAGCACAGTATGAACGAAGATATTATAACCTTTGGGTACGAAAATTTTTGATAGTGCTGAGAATACATTCCTTAGAGAATTCGAATATGTATAAAAAAAACTTAAATAAGGGAAGAAATTAACGATCCTTTGTTACCTACATAATCAAATGATATGTTTGCAATTTTTGGAATAAGAGATACAGTCCTGGTGTCGTCACTATGTCAACATTCATCCTCAAAAGGTTAAAACAATGATCATTATTTAATTGATTTATTTAATAGTCGTTTATACTTTTATAATCGTAGGGCTAATTAATAGATTAAGTTCTTCCGATTCAAATGAGTCCAGACATGATATAAATCGGACTATGTCTATCGACACATTTATTATTATAGATTTCATATCAATTAATCCGAGAAGGGCTTAAATTAATACAATTTACATCGTGTTCGGAGTCATTTTAATCGGACGAATCCTAGCTATCCATTAAAGCTAAAATTATAAAAATGAGTCGACAATTATTGAATATTAGATTTTCTTGGATGCAGCTTTATTTTTCCCTTGCTTTATAGAGCCGTGCTCGAGTCAATTCGTAGAAGAAAAAGGTGTCCCGTACGCAAGCGTTTATATGTTGGCATCTGAATCGATGTGAATTTAATCGTACGCTACTGTAGTTTATCCAATGAAACATGACAGAAAAGATTGTTGCTTAAACTTGCTTAAAGAGTTCTGGGAGCTGCTTTAGAGTCCAGTTCGAGGAAATTAATTCACAGAAGCTACCTGAGAGCTTCGCTAGACTCCTGTTTGGAGTCATCCAGGGTCCGGTACATGACCGTCTGCCGGACAACTAGTAAAACACGGTAGCATTAGTCAGAGACTGGTAATTGATGAATTGGACGACGAGAGAAGCATTTGAATAGTTAGCGAGAGGAAACGCGAGACGCGTTTATAATGCAGCCGGCTGACATTGAACAAGCGAAAGAGCGTGGTCGATCCATTGACGGTTTTCAGACCTGTTGCTCCGCCGGTGCCGCGCGGCTCAACGAAAATAGAAGGATACACACCAGAATCCGTTCGTGTAAATTAGTCCAATTGCATCGGCGGTGCTAAATGTCGGGAGGTTACGGCCACACCGCTCGTTGGAGGCTGCGTTTAATTCACCGTGAGAGAGACTAGAGAGCGATAGAGAGACAGACAGACAGAGAGAAAGAGAGAGAGAGAGAGAGAGATATCACGCAACAAAGAGACGCTGGCCTGTGCCGATGAGTAATTCTTTCGGCTGACTGGGTGTGTCCTCGGCCAATGATCGTCATTGCATTCATAACACCGCACGAAACTTATCCGCTTCGCTCTCACAATTCGTGCTTCCGCGTCGAGCAGACGCTTCGGACTTGGATTAGAATTCGAAACGGTCTTCTGTAGCCTCGGGACTGGCTAGAAGAAGGAAACTTCCTAGCGATCCGGATTTAAACCGCCCTTTGACTCCCCTCATGGGAACCAAGGACTCGACTCTTTGTGGCCTGGGCAAACTTTCCAACCAGTCCTGCCTCTTGTTCTCGAGGATACACCGAGTTCTTTCCGCTTTGGGCACCTGGAAGCGTTCTTTAATGGCTCTCGACAATTAATCCTTATAGAAATTCTGTTTCCGCTCGAAAGAGATGGGTAGGCTGCAGCTCATTAAGCAAAACGAAAGTTTTATCGAATAACTTCATGTATATATTCTTAAATACTGTTTGTTTCTTTCATATCTCTTATTTTTCTGTTAACAATATGCAAGCGTTATAATATATACACGTGGACTGTTTATTTTGAGATTGGTTTAAGTCCATTTTTTTTTAAAGAAATGAGATATCACTTAATTTGTGATTAATTTAGTGTGACCTTTTTTATGTATAACTGAAAAAATGGACTTGCATCATTTTCAAAATAAACGGTCCATATAATTAATATAAATATATACTAACTGTATGAAGACATAAAAGTAACAGAAGGATAAGATCTAAAAGGAACGAACGACGTTCATATTTCCCTTACCTAATAAGGGCATTATTGAAGACTAAGGATTCTTAATTATTACGACTGGAAAGAAGTAAGGGTTCATTTTTATTGACCATGTTTGCATATTTCTTTCCATATCACCAGCAATGTGGGTTAACAAAACAACTCAGAATACACTAGAAATACAGAACACATACAGGCATGCGATAAATATTTTCTTGTAAAAAAATTATTAACTACAAGGAAATGCCAATCGGAATAGCCGCGAGAGAAATGATTGAAAAAAGGGTTGACGATGGTAATACATTCACTATAGCAGAGTCAAAAATAAGTTAGTACCATTTTCATCTAAAATTGTCTTATGCGCAGCAGAAATAGCGTAAAAAAAGGGTGCAAGACGCGCCCCCCATTTCGCTCGCAGGGCCTTGAAGGGTCAAAGTCGTCGCTTTGTTTGCCCACAAGAGACGTCTTAACGGTCAACGCACCAAGGTGCCCTTCATTTCACGCAACAGTCCCTACGGTGTTGGACGGTTGGCCAGGTACAGCATTCCACCAGTTGCACATTCGGTAGGGCTCCTCTCTCCCCGGTGCAGTGCTCTCACGGACGCACACATGCGACTGATATCGAGCCCCCTCTCCCTTTCTCCTCCTGTCCCTCGTCCTTCCCGGAGCGGTGTTTCACGTATGTACACACACGTACCCTGCATCGAATGCGGTGCAATAAACACACGACTGACACGGACGAGGAGACTGGCAGCCAGTGGGGCACCATGATAAGGGGTCCGGGAAAGAGAGGGGGACGATACACACGGGTGTGCACTCGCTCGCGCGAGCGCGTGACTCATGGTTTCATGAATGGAAGCCTTTCGTCTTCTAGTCCTCGCGCGGTGAATGGTCCACCGGAAACGGCTGGTTACACCCTGTTTCCGTTACATCGAACCGCGTCGCCGCCGACGAGGGAAAAACGTTGACGAGCGAACGTTGCGACGACGTGCCCCTAACTGCGCCCATGGAACTCCCTTGGACACGTTTCCATTGCCAGTCGCTTTATTTCACTGGATAAGCTGCGTCTTCTTTCGGTTACCTGGGCGCTCTAGGAATCCCCCGATCAGTTAAACTTGAGAAATCTTGAGAAGGATCTTTTTAGTGATTGCAATTTTTAAAGGATGTCGCTTACAAGATCTTCAGCCTTTGCTGTTTTGGAAAATTTCAATCTTACCAATTTCTGGAAGTATTCACCCTTTGCATTCGAAGCCGTTTTTGTTCTAAATCCAAAATAGTAGCTTTGATCTAAAATCTTGTAACTCATACAACAGTTTTACACTTTTAACAGTTTTTTCTTTCGTTTTATATAAACAAATGTCACGACAGAAAAATATATAATTTTTAATAGTTCTTAGAGTCATTACTTGAGTGCCAGGAATTAATCTCTGACCACTTTGGTACAAATCCCGTTTCCACCTAATGCCTCATTTTTAACCCTCCTGCACTGTTTGAAGAAGTTATTTCATATACGTTATTATTAGTCTTTCAGATTTTATGCACGGAAGTAATATGTATTTAGAATTGTGGTATTTTTGCAAGAACGTCCAAATCTTCTATTATAGTGCGTCGTCGCCAGAGGGTGAACAAACTCTATATCTCTGCGAGCACACGTTCGTCGTGGTCAGCCGAATAATATTAAACATGTTTATAAATACAGTGGTTAAATTCACACCGGGATTATTTCATTTCGGTTCGAGTATTACGGGCATACTAAATTGCGCAGCGGGACCATCGTCGCGCCGCAACAAGTTCGCGCGTTCCGAGAACATGAATCTGCCGTTTTAATTTTAACCTTCCGCGGAACGGGGCATTCTGGGGGAGAAAACAACCGGCTGAAACTCGGTTCGAGGCAACAAGTACGTCCGATTTCCCGGAACCACGGTATCATTTTCGGGATCGCGACAGGTGTCGCAGCTTTTTGTCATTGTGTACACACATGTGCCTTCTGTTACCGAAATATATCTCCGCGACGCCCCTCCCGTTATTTTCTCTTACATTCTGACTCATTCATTCCCCACCTCACCCTCTCGATTCGACCGCTTTTCTCGTTTCTCAACCCCCTTTTGCTTTTTCTTGGTACACGGCCCGATCGTCAAATTGTGAATTGCTACGAAATGAAGTAACAATCTCCGTTGATCCGTTTCCGTGATGCTTTTTACGTTTGGTTGGACTAAAAGGAGTACACAGTTGTATACATGCATGTTACGCTATTTATTTCTAGATTATACTTATACTTGTTGTGCACTGTGTATTGTTCAATTGTTTGGAGACATTCGCTGAAGAATGTGATAAAAATATTCATGGGTTTTAGTTAATCCCTTAAATGACTGGCCTGTTGATCGTATCCAAGTCAAATATGATATATATATTTCTTCATTATTATTATAATATATTTCTTCACTTTTCTTTAAGTAAAAAGTCCACGTTACTTCGGAAACCATTTAATAACAGAAAAATGATAGGCAATTTTTAGACCAGTTTCTCGAATTTCGCGGATCACTTAAGGAACTAAATATATTTCTACAAATTTTTTATTTGAATCTTACTCACCTTTATTTGGTATTTCTTGCCTATTCATCAAGCCTGAAGGAAGTGCATAATCTCGTAGAACATGTTTATGGTACGTTTCTCTTACAATTGTGCAAAAACATGTAACGAAGACGAAAAAGGTCGATTCTTCATTTCAACATTTATAGAATCATACATGAAACTGCGAATCTTGTGACATAATCTTGAAGTACAAATCTTTAAAACCAGACTCTACTGGCAACCCGTGATTTTAATTAAACCGTCCAGAGTTAGAGTAGACGTCAGTCGAGATAATTTAATTAACATCGAGCTTCTGCAAGTACTTCTACCTCGACCTAAATTTTTCCATGAAATTTGCGTCGGACCCCGACGAAGATCTTGATGCACATCTATTCCCTGACCCTAATCCGTGTTGTGGAACGAGACAAGGGATTTTTATTAAAGAAAATCGTGGATCGTTTATCGGCGCGTCTAATGCCGTCATTAAATTCGACCCATCCGTATCAGCAGCGATTTCCCCCGGTTTCTCTCACCATTTCGTTTCGCTTCCCCCAGTGTTCTCTCTCTCTCTCTCTCTCTCTCTCTCTCTTTCTCTCTTTCTTTCTGTCTGGCCATTCGTCAGCTGTGACTCATAGCAGATGCCAGCTCTCGTATACCGCTGCGCGAGTAATTCTCGCACGCGGGTGTTGCGAGCGTTTAGGGGCCGATGCACACCACCCCGTGTATGTCGCCGCGACTAACGCTTACCTAAACTACTTCGATTAGGAGATCGACCCCTCCCGATCAGCTAGTAGATAATGTCCGACACGTTTATCTCCGTGCACCGATTTATTAGCGATTAATCGACGCCTCAGAGAGCAGGGATGATATTTTTCAGTGTCAGGGCTTATCTGCGCGATTATGCGGACGGGATGGTTATGCCTTCCACCCTCGAGATCATCTATACACCTTGTTATTTCTTATTGATCAGAGTATCACGAATAATCCGCGTTGCAAGTGTAGCAATATTTTTATAATAACACGTTGAGTGCCGCGTCAATTTTATTCACAATTTTTATTCGAATGTATTCGAACAAACTGAGATTTACTAAGATTTTTATATGTCAGTATGATAAATTTGAAATTTCTAGTTTTAGTATTATTAATCAAATTATGTATAGATTTCGTGAGAATTTCTGACGTTGGTTTTCGGCGCTTAATCTGCTAAAAACTAAAGGGTACCGCGTGATTTCACTCCTTTCAGGGGATGGTTTTGTCTTCTACTTTCGAAATTGTCGTTGTTGCATCTTGCCATAGATTTATTCTTGATCATAGTACCATCAGTAATTTGTTATCAGTATAACAATATTTTTAAAAATCTCCAAGGGCTTCAACCCCTTTTCCGAACACTTATGCTACAATTTACCACACCGAATGAAGCAAATCAGTCTTTGCTTCAATGCTTAAATATTAATCATAGAATTTTATTTCGAAATGTTTAATATTTATATTTCGTATATTATATTCGAAATCTTTACAACGAGATCGACGAGTGATTATAGTGCATTTAATATAAATCTGAAGGTTAAATATTGGAGGAATTAAAAGATTGTAATAATAATCTGCAGGGACTCTTATTGTCTACGACACTTGAAGTTCTTTGACATCGGTTCTTCGACTTTCTTTCAAAGACACGTATAGTGTCCAGTACCGGCCTATTACTTTTTAAAGGAAAGTACACTTCGTGTTCGCATGCATCCGCACTTACAGCGGCTTTCTCTCTTTCTCTCGATGCACACAGTAGTTGGAGTGGATACGGGCGGTCGTCGGTGTGACTCATTGGCGATACGATAGCGTCCCCCATGTTACGTAACCGAATCGCCTGTTTGGGTTACCACGACTGGTTTGTTTGACCGTTTATAACGCGATCCCGCGTCATCCGAGCGAGTTGCACGGCCGGACGGATCATTGTATTCCCGCACGTTCCCGTAGATCACCACCTAGAAATTCCGGATGACGTCGACCCGAGACGCGTCGATGNGAACATGTTTATGGTACGTTTCTCTTACAATTGTGCAAAAACATGTAACGAAGACGAAAAAGGTCGATTCTTCATTTCAACATTTATAGAATCATACATGAAACTGCGAATCTTGTGACATAATCTTGAAGTACAAATCTTTAAAACCAGACTCTACTGGCAACCCGTGATTTTAATTAAACCGTCCAGAGTTAGAGTAGACGTCAGTCGAGATAATTTAATTAACATCGAGCTTCTGCAAGTACTTCTACCTCGACCTAAATTTTTCCATGAAATTTGCGTCGGACCCCGACGAAGATCTTGATGCACATCTATTCCCTGACCCTAATCCGTGTTGTGGAACGAGACAAGGGATTTTTATTAAAGAAAATCGTGGATCGTTTATCGGCGCGTCTAATGCCGTCATTAAATTCGACCCATCCGTATCAGCAGCGATTTCCCCCGGTTTCTCTCACCATTTCGTTTCGCTTCCCCCAGTGTTCTCTCTCTCTCTCTCTCTCTCTCTCTCTCTTTCTCTCTTTCTTTCTGTCTGGCCATTCGTCAGCTGTGACTCATAGCAGATGCCAGCTCTCGTATACCGCTGCGCGAGTAATTCTCGCACGCGGGTGTTGCGAGCGTTTAGGGGCCGATGCACACCACCCCGTGTATGTCGCCGCGACTAACGCTTACCTAAACTACTTCGATTAGGAGATCGACCCCTCCCGATCAGCTAGTAGATAATGTCCGACACGTTTATCTCCGTGCACCGATTTATTAGCGATTAATCGACGCCTCAGAGAGCAGGGATGATATTTTTCAGTGTCAGGGCTTATCTGCGCGATTATGCGGACGGGATGGTTATGCCTTCCACCCTCGAGATCATCTATACACCTTGTTATTTCTTATTGATCAGAGTATCACGAATAATCCGCGTTGCAAGTGTAGCAATATTTTTATAATAACACGTTGAGTGCCGCGTCAATTTTATTCACAATTTTTATTCGAATGTATTCGAACAAACTGAGATTTACTAAGATTTTTATATGTCAGTATGATAAATTTGAAATTTCTAGTTTTAGTATTATTAATCAAATTATGTATAGATTTCGTGAGAATTTCTGACGTTGGTTTTCGGCGCTTAATCTGCTAAAAACTAAAGGGTACCGCGTGATTTCACTCCTTTCAGGGGATGGTTTTGTCTTCTACTTTCGAAATTGTCGTTGTTGCATCTTGCCATAGATTTATTCTTGATCATAGTACCATCAGTAATTTGTTATCAGTATAACAATATTTTTAAAAATCTCCAAGGGCTTCAACCCCTTTTCCGAACACTTATGCTACAATTTACCACACCGAATGAAGCAAATCAGTCTTTGCTTCAATGCTTAAATATTAATCATAGAATTTTATTTCGAAATGTTTAATATTTATATTTCGTATATTATATTCGAAATCTTTACAACGAGATCGACGAGTGATTATAGTGCATTTAATATAAATCTGAAGGTTAAATATTGGAGGAATTAAAAGATTGTAATAATAATCTGCAGGGACTCTTATTGTCTACGACACTTGAAGTTCTTTGACATCGGTTCTTCGACTTTCTTTCAAAGACACGTATAGTGTCCAGTACCGGCCTATTACTTTTTAAAGGAAAGTACACTTCGTGTTCGCATGCATCCGCACTTACAGCGGCTTTCTCTCTTTCTCTCGATGCACACAGTAGTTGGAGTGGATACGGGCGGTCGTCGGTGTGACTCATTGGCGATACGATAGCGTCCCCCATGTTACGTAACCGAATCGCCTGTTTGGGTTACCACGACTGGTTTGTTTGACCGTTTATAACGCGATCCCGCGTCATCCGAGCGAGTTGCACGGCCGGACGGATCATTGTATTCCCGCACGTTCCCGTAGATCACCACCTAGAAATTCCGGATGACGTCGACCCGAGACGCGTCGATGACCCTCATCCACCAGATAGTAGCGGCTAGCTTCTCTCGAGCCCACGCGATCCGTAATCCTCCGTCTCTTGGTATCTCTGACCTGCGCGGATCTGGTTCGGAATTCCAACGATTAGGCTGCGGGACATCTTGTACCCTGTTATCTCACGTAAACTATACGATAGGGCAAGATATACCTATTCGGTATTACATGTAGTATATATATATAAAGTAAAGCATAATAAATAAGCATGTAATACTCATTATATATATATATAATATAATATATAATATATATATATAAAATATATTATATATAATAAATAATATATAATATATAATTACTTGGTCGACGCTGTCGCCCCAGGGGACGATTATCAGGATAAATCATGTGATAAAATGTTCTTTAGTTCAAAAAAGACTTCTTAATCAGTTGATAGATTTAGAATGGAAGCGTTCATATCATACGGTTCATTCAAAACCATCCACTCGCTAATTAACACAGACGATTTCTCCTTTTCAAAATGGATATAACCTAAACTGAACAGCTTAATAGAACTAAGAATCCACCCTCGGATCTTCATGTCACTAATCCAAGCTTCACCTTGTTGTTACAGAGGAAGCTCGAAAATCCGGAAGCAGCGTGCTGGTGCACTGTCAAGCGGGCGTGTCGCGCAGTGCAACGATCGCGATTGCATACATTATGCGGCACAAAGGTCTGTCGATGGTGGAGGCCTACAAGCTGGTGAAGAACGCGCGTCCGATCATCAGCCCGAACCTGAACTTCATGGGCCAGTTACTAGAGCTCGAGCAAGGTTTGAGGGCGTCCGGTGGCATGGCATCAGCCCCCGAGGAGCCAAAGAGCTGCCATCAGTGTCGTTGGTCTCATCAGCAGAACAGCGAAGAGGTGACCTCCGGTTGCAGCGTCTGAGGTCACGCGACGACAGGTTGGAGCCGCGTTCCGTATCCTCCTGGTGGCTCAGCCGGAAGAGCCAAGGATCGCGAGGCCGACCGGCGTCGAACGAAACTCTGATACATATCCTGTACATCCGCGCGAGTCGAGGTCGTTCTTCCTGTTCGCGAACCAAGACAACGGGAGAAGCAGACGAAGAAGAACCTGAAGAACTCGGATCTATACTATAGATTTGCTACTATAACACGTGCCTTGGCGATCGCCCGAAACCCCGGACAAGGGAAAGGCTGATTCACAGAGACCGATTATTACTTCGAAATCGACCGGATAACTTATTTCAGTGGGTAGAAGAGAGAAAGAGAGGGAGAGAGAGAGAAGAAGAAGAAGAAGAAGAAGAAGAAACGAAGAGAGAGAGAGAGGAAATTCGAACTCGCCGGCGCGGCGGGAATTATTTATTTCGTCGGAGAGAGAGAGAGACTCGGTGCAAGAGAAGAGAGAGGTGTACTTACGACAGTGTTCCGAGGCGTCAAAGGTCCAAAATGCGTCCATCAGATTCAGCGACGCGATCTTTTCATTTTTACCTCTTCGGAAAACGATTTTCTATATGTATCTAAAAAGACTCTTTTAAGTTGCGAACAGCCCTGTTTCGTTGTTATGTGTATAGTTTCAGTTTTAATCGGGATCTTAGAGGTACCTTGCTTAGGGACACTGGTGTTGTCGGAAAGGGTGCGTTTCGAAGAGGAGAGAGAGGGTTGCGCCCCGGGTACGCAGGGCAGTCGTCGCGTCGACGACGAAACACGGTCGAACGTGCTTCAATTGAGGTCAATAACAATTCATTGCGTTCTGATCACTCGGGATCGGTGCCGCCGGGTCAAGGTTCACCAGCGGTCGGAGAATCGGTCATCGAACAGTCCCGAGTTCCATTCGATTTTTGACGAACTTGGAACGTTTGATAATTATCGATTTCGTCACCGCTGCGGATGGATCAAGGTTTAGTGATCCCTGGGTGCTCGAGGCGCGGTGGATCACTATGTTTGCGTTTTTCTTTTCTTTTTTGCCTTTGCCTATTTGTATCTGTATTCGTATATTACACACTACTCGATAGCGAGGTGGTTTATATTTGATAATGGATAATTGTGTATCGTTAATCGGAAGATTTAACTTAACCACGAAGCGCGGTCCGTAGCATTTAAGGATCTGGTTGAGATCCAACCATCGTGATCATCTAGTCGTTTGTCGGGATGTAATTGATTTACTTTAAGGTGCGAACGAGAGTGAGAGGCAAGGAGAGCATGACGGAGTAAATGGCCCCGCACACGTGCGCGCATACAACACGCCGATTAATTTAGCGTAAACGGAACACGTCGTCGAGAGACTCGAAGAACGACAAGTATACGATTATTTTCGTTCTGTTTTTCTTTTTCTTTCTTTTTTACCGAGCCAATTTTTAGTTCGAATTTCGACGAGTTCCGAGCTTCGATGCAACGACGAAATTTATTGTGCGAACGTCGAACGAGATAAGCGAGAAATTTAATTTTCACACTGCACCTTTCCGAATCGGTCACACGAAGCGCAAGAATGCAATATCCTAAAGTTTCCTATGAAATTTTAATTTCATAGCATCCTCATTATTGGACTAGTACATTTGTAACAAAGAAACCGCAAAACAAAATATCCAACACACTTCAGCATTCAGACGTAGACCTAGGTCTAAATTAAGTCTAATTGCTAAGTCAAGTTATTAAAATATTGCTCTGGACATTCGAACAGATAATTGAGATAGAAGGATAATTATATTTTGAGCCTTCACGTGACCGAGATGATCGAGTGCAATGAATGAAGGGGAATCTTCTTTGACCCAAGTTTTGTCGATCCACGCGCATCTTTGAATAGAAATCGTGCTCGAAGAAGATCGCCTGTGCGATCCACACGAGCGGCCATTTTGTATATTACGTTCGGATGCGTTAGAACAGTTTCCGGTCGCCTTTGAGCCCACGTATGTATCTTAGCTTTGTAATACCGCTTTTATTTGAACCGACGAGTCACCCTCGCGTGTCCGCGCGAAGAACGAACGAAAGAAGGGAAAAGTATCCAGTTTGATCGTCGAAATACCTCGAGGAACGGCGGCCTACAGGACAAGAAGAAGACGAAGCCGTTGATGTAGAATGTAACAAATGCGCGGATACTATTACGACATACGACAATCGCTGTTAATCAAACCGAGCAGCTGTTCAAACAGGAAGGAAGAAACGCGGAAAAGTACGAAAGTAGGATCGCTTTGAAAAACCGATATGCCTTTCTACGTTAGAGACTCAACTGTTGACAATAAAAGCTCGATAAGCTAGTGAGCGAACGAGAGAGAAAGAGAAACCTATGTTTGCGTGTGAAGAAAGTAAAAGATGGGTTCATGGTAATGAAGTACACGAGACAGAGTAAGTTCCTTCAAGTATTCTCTAATTCTCTCGAAGAAGAAGAAGAAGATAAAACGGTACATATCAAAGAGACGTCGCCTTTATTTTCCCTCTTGAACGGACCATGGACGAAACGGAGTACCAGCGGAAGCTGCGGGCGTCCTATGAGATCTATGGTGGTCGCGACGCCAACCCCCATGGTCTTTGTAAAAAGTGTAGCGAATAGCGTTGTACATAGAAACATAATATCGCAGAGCGAAGGCAGACAGGCGGATCGCGGACGGAAACGAAGTGATTAAGCACTGTGGAAAAAAATTGAGAGAGGAACAGATGTGTAGAGAGAGGGAGAGAGGGAGAGGCGGAAGAAGGCCATGAGCGTGTAGTACCTGTTGCGTCGTAAGAATGTATATGTGTATGTAGTGTTTACTGGATTGTGGAAGAACTTTAACAATAAAATTGTATATGTCGACCTGCGATAAATAGTCGTTGCGATAACCCATCCTTCGATGCGACTACGTAATCGCATGCGATTCAACCTTGAAGTGCAAATTACATTCAGGAAAATCTTATACAGAAGCTGGACGAAGTTGTACTCCTTTGATCGCTGAACACCCACCGAACTTTTAACACTTTGCAGAAAGTTACTCGTCTACTAATCCTTCATGTACGAACGCGTAATTTGATTGGATCGCAGGAAGATAAAAAAGAAACGATTATTAAGAACATGTTTATTTAGACAGAAAATATCGAATTTCGAATATAATAAAGTTTCCAAATTCCCAAATTCTTGCGATGGAGTCGGGTTCAATCATCTTAGACCGAGCAATCTCTGTCGACACGCTTTCTTCGAAAACTGAAATCGACGATTAGGTGGAACCAAGATGGCCGCTGCTGCACATGGTTCCCTCGTTTCCGAGCAGTCCTCTTGACAAATAAAAATATGATTGTGCATACGATCAAGTACGTAAGTTACAAATTCGACCTGTTACTTTCTCTCGATAATGCTCGCTCACATGCACAATGCACTCGCATTCTCAGTCTCCTGCACTAGCATGTGCACAGAGGGTTCCATCTTCCAACGACTGCTTACACTGTGTCGCGTTACATGGATCATCCTGTACACACGCTTGGCTGTAAAATAGGTTGTAACTGAAGCTCCGGATGGTATCCGCTTCTGCGATTAAACGATCACAAGTAATTAAACTCATTTACGGTGACAGATTCAATGGACAAGTCCGGAGCTCTAGTTGTAACGGTATACAAGTAGTAGTAAATAGGGGATTCGTGCTTTGTCTTCTGAACTCGTTTGCCTCGCTTCCTACTCAAATCACGGTCCCTTGTTTTCGGTCGAATTAAATGCGGTACGGAATTATTTTTTTTGTGCCTCTCTGTTGCAAAGAACGGGTCGCACGAATCCATAATTTCAAAACGTATTACGCCGTTTTCCTTAAACCTTACACCGATGAGATAGACAAGGCGAAGCGGACATCTTCGCGGGTAAAAAAAGTGACACCGCACGACAATGGTCGAGCATCACCGATGCGCGATGACGTGCAAATTCTACGGGGTACAAAACAGTTTAATGTACTCTATAGGTCCTATCGTTACGATATTTGTAGGAAATTTCTCCTGTATGTAATATTAATGCGGAGCATTTTCTATACGTTAATATTCTGTACCGCTACGGGAAATGATTTCATTGAAAAATGATTTTAGACGGATACTTTTGCACGCCACGCTACTGTAGATCATATTCACAGTATAAAACGCCGGTTCTTAAAAGGTCTGCGATCGTGTCAAGCATAGATTCGACGATGATTCTCAATCGCTGGTCTAACAACGATATCATAACAAACTCGGAGCACCTCGTCTATCATTTACGTGGTTACATCGCGAGAAACATAATTATCCCCACCTTATCGACCATGAGTAGATACCAACAATACGACGACGCAAAACAATATATATATTTAGATATTTATACTTTATATATATATATACTTTTTTCTTCTTTGCTCTCTCCACTGCGTTAATAAAATTCACTCAACTAAAGCTCTATAAATGAAGCAGATAAATTATGATTATTTCTCTTCTGCTCGCGCGACGAGATCTATTGCTTGTTTACCGAAAAAAACATGATATACAGAAGAATATTTGCAGCACGGTACTATTATAGCGTTAACTTATCCTGATTCTCTTTCGCGTTTCCGAATTGTATCGTCGTTTTTGTTTCCGCGTTCGCATATCATCTTAAAAGCCGCTTCGCTATGTGCCTGTCTCGGCTATTTATTAACAAGTAAATTCACGATTAATGGAAACTATTGGTATATGTTGCTTAATTCACGGCTGATCCGCGATATCTAAGAATCGATCCGTAGGATTGACGGTGCGTCGTCGGGCTGCCCCGGGTAAAGAGAATAATTAATTGCTGGCCAAGGCCGCCATTGCGCGAATCAATGCCGCGTTCTCTTCCCGCAGTCGTTCCCGTTCCAGGGTCATTTCGTGTTGCTGCTGCAACAAACGCGCCTCCAAGGCCATGATCTTGTGATCTCGATCCTCGAGAAGCGACAGTAGCCTCCTGTTCTCCTCCTGGGCTCGTTCTATTAACTGAAATTGTTCAACGTAACGGTTAGTATCATTTAATTACTTCTATTATATATATTGACAGAATATTCTCTGTCGCTAAAATTTTTGGAACATCTTCATATGATAGTACCTCATGGGGATTATCTCCTGTTGGTGTAGGCACTCTGGGCCTGTTCCCAGTGTTCACCGATGTTTGGGGTTCATGGTTACCATGATCCGACTGGTTGACACTGTCCGACTGGTTCAATGAATCAAATTCTTCGTCATCTGCTTCGAAATCGGAGTGGCTAAAATGAAATTTGTATTTTTCATACGTTAGTGGAAACGTGTCGCAATGTCGGACCGGACTGCCTATAACAATATATTAGGCACGACCCTTAATGTAAACGATCCTAACACATATATCCGATCGTCTCTAACAGAGTGTGATATCAGTTGATCTTAGATTTTTGTTAGTCGGTTGTTTACGCTTTAGTGTAACGTGAGTTCAGGGTAAGTTACCATGATCGCGAAGAATATTTATAGAGAATTATTGTGCGCCGATTGTTGTATGTATATATAAAAAATGTATACAAAGGACTTACGTACTTGTTACAATACGCAGGCTCGTATTTAAAAGAATCTACTTAGCTCTACCGTACTTCGTACAGGTCGTGCCTAATTGTACATTGTCACGTACAGTAGCACTTACCAACTGTGCCTATTTATACATGACCTGTAGGAAGTACGGTAATGCCTAAAAAGCAGTAGCAGTTTATTACAAATAACTACTAAATTGTCACTAAAGCACTAATTATTTATGATTCCGCTACCGCAATAGATATCACAGTGTTTTATACCTTTTGATCCGCCTTTGTGTAAACATTTTTGCTGTCCGTTCCTGAAACATGTATAGTTTCACGTATATACATTAACTCTGTTTATCAGCGTTTTCGTGTTTCACACCGCATCCACGGTATCATATGTAATATATTAAACAAATATTTATATATAATATATATCTATATATATTTATGTATATATGATAGCACGAACTTACTTCTATGAGTTCAGGATCAAGGAACTCATTGTGATATGTGTTGTGTTTAGTTTCAAGACAAGTGCCACTAAGCTCTTCTTCATCTTCTCCTGTACTACCTCCTGTACTCTGCAGAATTAAGTCGCTAACGAAATTACATTGCGGAGTAACAACGGGTTTCGCACACAAAATCTCTCACTAAATATCCATTATATTCGTGTTTGAGAACACACCTTATAAAACTCACTCTATGTATGTCAACAGAGCTTCTAAGTGCAATTCTACTTGTACATTCAACAGTGTTACCATACTACCATGTCAAAACATGTTGTAATATATATTATCGAAAATACCAGATAAAAAGTCAAAAACAAGCGATCTCGCTTTTACGCTTGAATTTTCGGTTTAATGTTATTAAGAGATAGAAAAGAAAATGTCTAAATTTCTCATGCAAAGTATAAAAGGCTAAAAACTTGATATGAAACGAGCATGAATACAAAAGACTCTTTTACTTCACTGTGAAAGTACTGCAGAGTCGTTAAGATATTTGGGAACTTAAGGGGACTGGAAATAGTGACAAACCTCCGTCGACGGTAAATGCACTACTCCGGTGCTTCGTCTCTTTTCCCTAAGTTTTCGTCTATCGCGTTGCTGCTTGCCCTTATTTATGTGCGTTGGCCTGTGCAAACAGGATACGACACTAAAGACACTAGAACCAGATCCAGAAAGTGTTAGCAAAATATGCAAACTCTATACTGGATCTACATAATAGTGACAAGTGCTCGAAAATGTATTGTAACTTCATCTTTGTGACTCCACCATTGAACCAATGGTTGAGCTACTTACCGGCCAGTAACACGTTTATCTTGTTTCCTCATTATTGGTTTGTTCTGTTGATTCTCGTGACCAGGTGCACTGTTTGAGCTTGTTTCACACACGCCTTGGGATTCTTCCACATTTGGTGCATTTTCTGCAATAGAGAATACTTATATACTATGTTTGATAGGTCTCAGATTACATAATTATAATATCAGCTATATAAATCTGGCTCTACACCCATGATTAATATGCGTTTTCCCTCTGTGCAAAGCACTTTAACACATAAAAAAAATAAGCAAGGTATATGTTATTTTAAAATGTACAACACGCTATTTTACATTTTCTTTTGTAGAATTGCAAGCAATTTGGAGTTAGAGTTAACGAACAGTTGAAACGGTTACTTTGAAAGTTTATTGAAGAGGTGTCTCCTGCTCTGGGTGGACCAACCCTTGCCCGCGCTGTTCTAATTCTGGACCTCCTCGACGTTAATTCATAGTCATTGTCAAAGTCCTCCTGGCTGACGGAACTAGACGCCATGCCGGTTATATCGCTGTGAAACAATAGGAACAAAGCAAGTGTTATTTAATGTTAAGAAAATTCTGCACAGTATGATGTGAAACAAAGTTGAAATAGAGCTCTTACAAAAAATACCTGGACATCTGAACAAAAGAGGGTAGGTGATGGTGCGTGATACCTGTGGTGGACCAGCACAAAACTTGTAGACCAAAAAAGCAAGTGCTGGAATTTTTAGGTTTCTCTAAAGGAGAATCACAAAAGCATAAACCGTTCTTAGCTAAAACGAGGAAGTGCGTGTGCGATAAATGATAACACAACAAAGAAAAAAAAACAGAAGGTTGCAGTAATTCTTGAGTTGTTAGTCACCTGCCGATGCAAGCGGTCTTCACCTAGTTCCACTGACGATGCGGTGACTCACTACCAACCTATGTACGATTGACAGCTGTCAACCATCGAAACATCCATAAACACGTACAGTCCGCAACGATTACATAGTTTACAGACAGATAGGCATATCGATCGTTCATGCGCCGTTTTTCATAAAGCACGATCCTCAATGCGTTCGTTTAATAATACGGCAATATTATAAGCCAGTCAATATTCTTACTTTAAGTTTGTCGCCAAAATATGTACTCGGAATCAATACTCTGCTGAAACAATGGTCGGCTGCGGCGTTCTTAGTAAATATTTTATTTTTTTATGTACCGAGAAACCAGGGGATGTAGTCGAAGATTAGTGGCGACATATGCGGCGAATTCCTCAAGTTATTAACAGTAGTAATAAGAAAATCAGAGACGAAACTTCTGTTGGAACTTTTGATGTTTACGAATTCTAAGAAACTTCTTTTATCTATATATCAGTATGTCCTAAAAATGTCTTTCCATCCGGTAGTGGGTGAGTCCTGAAGTTGTTTGAAGTAACTTTTTTCTCAGCGAAAATGCAATTCACGGCTTTGTTTGCGAGTTATTAACGAAAAACACTGACCAATAACAGCCAAGCTAGGTTGGCACAAGTCGGCCGAATCAATGAGTGGAACTCGGCTATGTGCGCCGATTATACTTTATATTATACAATTACTTAAAATGATATTTAGTCCTAATTTCTCAAATATATTGCATCATATTAAGCTCAACAACACGACAAATGACTTGTTGATCATTTAATTTTTTAAATCCCACGGTTGCACGACATTTTATTATTTTATGTTGGCTACACTGAAAATTCAATTCGAACAGACAAAATGACGCTGGTCACTTTTCCGGTTTCGATCGCTCTTTCAGTAAGGCAAGATGGCTGATCAGGTACGTATCGGATGTTAACGATGTCAATATGTACATTTTTCCTAGTTTAATTTTATTACGCCCTAAATATTTTTATTCGAGTGATCATTTCTAACGTAACAGTCAATAATGAGAATAAAAAATTCGTTATTCAAGATATTTATGTAAAAGTTGTGACTTTTTGTGCTAACGTTGCACGTGGTCCAAACAGTTCATGCTTTTAATGATAGTGATGTACTTTATACGATTGAACAAGTATAGCGAAATTTAAAAATGTATTTTCGTGACCGCAGACTGAGCGTTCGTTTCAAAAACAACCCACGATCTTTCTTAACCGCAAGAAAGGTCTGGGCCCCAAAAGAAGGAAGCCTATGAGATATAGCCGAAATGTCGGTCTTGGGTTCAAAACACCTCGTGAGGTACGTATCTTTTCATCTATTTCAAGAACAGCGTCTAAAAGCTTCGTAACACGATGTAAATTTTCAATGTTGGTTTTTAGGCTTTGGAGGGAACATACATTGACAAGAAATGTCCATTCACAGGCAACATTTCTATCAGAGGACGCATTCTCACTGGTGTTGTACAGAAGATGAAAATGCAAAGGACTATTGTCATACGTAGGGATTATCTGCATTATATCAGAAAGTACAACCGTTTTGAGAAACGGCATCGCAACATGAGTGTCCATCTTAGTCCTTGCTTCAGGTTAGTATTGTGTACTACTTAGCATAGCTAATTTATTTGTAATTATATGATGATATTGACGACGGTCTTCTGAAGAGTAAATTGAAGTCATTTTATTCGTCTACTGATTAAAGAGCTTTCTTTTGTATATGTTATTTTGCCAATATCATTTTTTTATTGTTATTATTATTGTTATTATTACTTTGTGTTACAGAGACGTGGAAATCGGAGATGTAGTCACAATTGGAGAATGCAGACCCCTCAGTAAAACAGTCAGATTTAATGTTCTGAAGGTATCCAAGGGAACTGGATCGAAGAAGAGTTTTAAGAAGTTCTAAGATTGTAGAAAATATAATCAAGGTCAGTAAAACATTAAAACTTAAAAACTCAATATTCACAAAACACAACCATAAAATGATGAAAACAACGACGGTCTTCTGAATTAATTATATTGAACGACATTAAAATTTATTCTGAACATAGTAAATTGTAACGATTTTGTTTCCTCGTTTATAGACCGAGATACTTAGTATTCTATTTTATTAATTGTAGGAAATCTTGGAATGGTTGCAAATTGGCAAAGCAAAGGAACATCAGGATGGTAAAAGTTGCAAGAGACATCAATTAACATTTTGATTTTTGTAACTCTTTACTTATAAAAATAAAGAAAAGAACAGAAAATATTTGTACGAAAACCTTATTGCGTTTGATTGCACTGAGAATTCGACAGCAAATAGAAAAATGTCCTATAGTTATAAAATGAATGTTAAAGGATACAGTAAGTAAGACAAACTTTAGTGTTAAAAAATGTATTTCTCATAAACTTTAACAAGAAAATATTATCAAAAGCTCGTTTTACATAACGTCGGAAGCTGTTCAATAAAATACATATTGTTACAATTACATAAAAATATTACCACAGAGAAAGATGCGTCATTCAATTGTAGTAATTTGTTTGTACTTTCTTGAAACAACAACATTAATGATATAATGTAAAATGTATGCATACATCACAAATAATAGTGTACGTTAATTCTTAGTGTTGTTACAACAAAGAATGATTGAAAAACGCTTAATATCACGTGTCATAGAGAAAACTTAAAAAAGGAATATGTATATCTTTCGTTCTGCTTAACAAGATCCTTATGAGCAGCTCAACTGCCAATGGAAATGTCTTTGGCAATTGCTCCATTAAATGGTATAATATTTATATAATGTTCAGTATAAAAATATTTATATTCACACACGCACTAGCATTCACCTATCATATTAATGCATCAGATACTCATGAAGGGACTTTAACTTATGTATTATATAACTTATTTGTATTATTCAGTAATAAATTTATCGCAATGATGTAATATTAATATAAGAAAATAATATCTTAAAATATCGTTTGCAAGTCATTACAAGTCATGTAATGGCTAGTTTTAGTAAGTAGAGATTCTAGGTTCACACTTATTCAGATACAACTTCTTTTTTTACAATATTGCTAGTGATTGGTAATCGAATGATGCTTAGATGAGAATGCTCTTGTCAGAAGTATGTATATGATAGGCCCTGCCAAACCTAAGAATAGGGAAAATCCAAGGAGGTGTGTCCAGGATAATCCACAGTCATCACCAGAACACTTAAATGTATCTATTAAATGAGTGTCATTTGAATTGCTGTCCGACGATGCAAGCAATTGTTCAGATTCTGTGCTAACAATCTCTAAAGAATTACTATTATTGTATGATGATAATGGTTCACACACTGAATTCAATATTATTGCATTGATCTCTGCGTTTGGTGATTGAGTTGCAACTGGACTCTTGATTATATTTGATGACAAATTTTGTGTAGACGTACTGGTAGCTTCTTCATCAGCGGATATACTTACACTGCTTGTGCTGGCTTGTCCAATCGGATTCTCTCCCAAGGTTTCAGTCAGCAGAGAGAATGGTTGAACCGGCACCTTTATAAACCGTCTTGCATAGATCTCGTTCTCTTTGTGGATCTTGTTGATTCTCTTTAATTCGGATATCTGAAATCATAATTTAGAAAGGATGTTTATTATCAGTTTAAAATTATTTACGAGACATTACCGTGCATCTGCACCTCACTGCCAATGCTTGCAAAGTGTCCTCGGGCTTCAACTGAACATTAATCACTTCCACCTTACGTGGCAATGATATAGTTTTGTTTCGTGGTTGCAGAGGAATGTCATCTTCTTCTTGGCTGGCTTCATCATCTGAATACAAAAATACATAATGCGGGGAACCTTCCCTTTGATTGCCGCGTTGATAAACCATTTGTCTGAAAAATGACACTGCAGGTAAAATCTAAAAATAAGACTGATATGAAAACTGCAATTAAAAAAGAGTTACACAATGAAATTAACGCCTTTTTACAAAAATTACATCCACTTCTAGGCAATTATAATCGAAAGATTAGATATGTGAACTGTCAAACGTCATAAAAAAAAAAGACAACCACAACTGTCAATTACCTTGTACTTCGTTGTCTTTCGGTATCCTTTGTTAATTCTGATCTTTCGACTTAAACGTTATTCGAAAATGACTTATGTAGAAGAATACGATGACGTTTCAGATGTTAACTGGACCGTTCACCGATCACAATTGCCCGATTGCCCTTGGCTGATTTCGCTGGCCATATGTGTTGTTACAGACTGATTATGGTAGAAGGTTAGGGTTCCTACTGCGAAATGAACGAAACATAACCTACCACTGTATCTCAAGAACGTTCTGATACAAACTATCATTCAAGATGATGCGTTATTCGACTGACGGCGAACAATTGACGGATAAGTCAAGATGCGCTTCTCTTCGTGCAAATTTAAAAATGTGTTTGCTAGAAACTGATTGCTGTCGAATCGTAAGAAATCATAGTGCTCATTTACAGTGACGTTAACCTCCCACGAGTTTCTCCGGTGGTGTTTATACAATCTTTTTCACTTTAATCATTCTGTATTCTTGTATCCTCATACAATAACATCTCGTGAAAGAGTTTACTGCAATAACATTGTTGCTCTGTTGCAGCATAAACGCACGCCCAAAGAGTGTTTACGGACGAAAGACAAGTCTGTGCCTGACGAGTGCTTTGCCTTCCATAAAGCGTTCTTCGAGTGCAAACATTCAATCGTAATTATAATTAGATCATAAATGGTTGTATGTATGTATATATATATGACGAATATATTTATATGTATTTATATGTTTCACACAGATCGATGGTAGAAGAAGATTCAGAGGACCGAGAGGTTACTAACAACGTGCAGATGTTAAGTTGTGTACTATACATCCTAAGTTAGTTAATAGTTTTTTGTCCATACAGTACATCGATTACTTTGTTGCTCTGTAAATAAAGTCTCTTTGAATATTCCATTTCTATAGATCAGTGCTCGGAATGTTTCGGAACCCAAAATTTGGCTCGGCCTCTTGACTAACACCGCAGTGTCACGCTCCTCGCGTCGGTTCACAGCTGATGGTGCCAACGCGGAAAGCGAGACGCTGCAGAGGTAAGCAGATGGATGCAACGCGGGAAGCGTGACGCTGCGGCAGTAGTCAGGAGGCAGAGCCTAATGTTACGTTCCGAAACATTCTGAGCACTGCTGTAGATAGAGCCTCTTTTTCGTCGTAAAATGCTTAAACAAAGTATGCAAATTATATTGCATAATTTATCTTGGTAATGTTGAATTGTTTATTGTGATCTATTGAAGGTGTATCTAAATGCAAATGTGAAGTATACTTATAAATAAAAATAATAATAATAAAACAAATATATACTTGTAAAATACTTAACAAGCAAAATGGATGATTTATATTCAAAATAAAGTAATCTCTCAAATCACGAACCATATCCGGGAGTAACGAGGTTTTTGAATTGAGTGAACGCAGCGAATTGCTGTGCTCTGATTAGTTGATTCATAGCAGAACAGTGCTGCCCTCATAGCCAATGACAAAGCAGGAAGTAGCGAGTGAGCAAGATAGCGCGACACCTATACAACGACATGCGAAACGAGTTACATCGACAAATCAATGTAAGTTTGCTCATTTTACCTGCTATCGGTCTCACTCTTTCCGCGCATTTGTACACTTGGCGCTCCATCTGAAACATACGACGCGATATTCTACTTGTACTTCTCGCCTCGTAGGATTCTCGACCAAATTTTCCGGCCAATTTGCAAACGATGCTCAATGTACATCGAGATATGTTTCGAATGTATGTGTTTGTAGACAATATTTCGACAAGTCGAGCCGGATAAGGTCCAGCTGATTATTGCATTGACCTGAATGTTAGTGTAAGAGAATTAATGTTGCAAGCGAATAGTGTAAATTTCTTATTTTTTTCTGAAAGATGAAATACTATTATGAAATACTATTTATGAAAGATGATATACTATATATAAAAATAAATGTTTGAATAAAGGAGTCTCTACTGTATGTCGCTCGTGTCTAGTAAGCCCGAGAAGTAAAAGCTCTTGAATTGTGATTCGTTTAATATACTAGTTTAAATGTTAACCATGAAATATAAAACTAAACTATGAAGGAACAACGCTACGTTTGATTTTTGCAAGTAGAGATGTGCAGGTCCGCTACATTTTGCCAATGGCCTTTGTTCGGCGCCAATCATCGTAGCGACAAACGTTCAACCTGCTAACCGATGTTACCAACAGCTGATTTTGGCTAACAGTTTGAGCATTTTGCCACTACGTTGATTGGCGCTAAACAGAGGCCGTTAGCAGAATTCGGCGATGGCGCCATCTAATGTTAATTCCCCATTATTAAATGGATCTGAAACGTTTTCCATCATATATTTAATGCAAATATTCTACTTTCACGTTTGTAATTACCTTTCTCTGCACTTGTCTAATCAAGACAATAAAAAAGATCTATTTTTGGTTTGAAAATACGCTTGTATAATACAAGCGTATTAATATACAGGGTGTCCCAGGTTTCAATGTTCAAACTTTGTCAATATATTCTGTGGCACAACGTAAGAAAAAAATATTATCTAAACATAGGTCATATAGAGCTTTATATTAAGAAGTTATAATAAAAATTCAGAATAGGAATAGTAATCAACTAAAAAAAAAATACAAAATAAAAAAAAATCTTCGATCGATGTCAATCATGTATTGTCAACAACGGTTATTAATACATTTCGAAATGTATTAATAAACACAGCTTATATAAACACATGGCATGTGCTGATCTATTCAAGCCAATGCTCGCAGTAACAGCAAGTTGATTACTATTCCTATCCTGAATTTTTGTTATAACTTCTTAACAAAGCTCTATACGACCTATGTTTACATAACATTTTTTTTCTTACTTTGTGCCATAGAATACACTAACAAAGTTTGAACATTAAAACCTGAGACACCCTGTATAATAGCTCCAACAGAGATATATGGCTTTTGCGCATAGAATGAAATTTCTCTTATCCTGTTCGCAAATTAACAATGATTTCTATTATTTCGTCGAAGGGCAAAGTAAACGTTGACACGTTGTAATATTAGAAGTGATTTATTATTAACTTCATCGTATTCGTTGTACATGATATAATAAACCTATCGTAATCGCAGAGTACCAATATCTGTCTTCGCGTTGATCCAACCTGGTCCCGTGGGACCACGATCCTCGGGATCTCTGTTCTGGATCCGATTCGCTTGTCCGCAAAGTAAAGATTACCCTGAACAGACGTACTCCTTCACGCGGAGCAAAAAAGGTGCTCACGTAGACAAACTTGTGCAGGCGAAGAACACGTTTACCCGAACGGCGTGTACTCTCTTCTCAAAAGTGGACCGACACCCAATCGCACACCGAACAAACCGTGTATCGTCTTTTTTTTTTTTAATATATATATTATCCGCCGCGATACACTTGGGATCACAGTAAAATCGCGAGTTCACATTCGTTCAGAAATTCTTTTGGTTATCGCTCGTCATCCCCCTATTTTAATGTCCGGTCTCGCGCCAGCGATTTTCTGACGGCCAATGCGTTGGCGAACGATTTATCAAAAAGTTCTAAAAAATATATCAAATGGAAAGAATTGAACGCATTTCAGCGTCTAACGTCGACCCCAGAATTTCCAAGAAAATCAGATTAACCCCTTGCGCTACAACGTCGTGTCAAATTCGTAATGGATGAACAGAATCTATCGCACGGAGACATTACGCAGCTGTTAATCGAAATATAATCCAATTTGTCTGTTATCAATACTTGATCATTACAGTCGACACGGATACGGAACAAAATTAAATTTGTCTACTTTTGTAAGAATATATTAATTGGAAAGATNAATCATGTATTGTCAACAACGGTTATTAATACATTTCGAAATGTATTAATAAACACAGCTTATATAAACACATGGCATGTGCTGATCTATTCAAGCCAATGCTCGCAGTAACAGCAAGTTGATTACTATTCCTATCCTGAATTTTTGTTATAACTTCTTAACAAAGCTCTATACGACCTATGTTTACATAACATTTTTTTTCTTACTTTGTGCCATAGAATACACTAACAAAGTTTGAACATTAAAACCTGAGACACCCTGTATAATAGCTCCAACAGAGATATATGGCTTTTGCGCATAGAATGAAATTTCTCTTATCCTGTTCGCAAATTAACAATGATTTCTATTATTTCGTCGAAGGGCAAAGTAAACGTTGACACGTTGTAATATTAGAAGTGATTTATTATTAACTTCATCGTATTCGTTGTACATGATATAATAAACCTATCGTAATCGCAGAGTACCAATATCTGTCTTCGCGTTGATCCAACCTGGTCCCGTGGGACCACGATCCTCGGGATCTCTGTTCTGGATCCGATTCGCTTGTCCGCAAAGTAAAGATTACCCTGAACAGACGTACTCCTTCACGCGGAGCAAAAAAGGTGCTCACGTAGACAAACTTGTGCAGGCGAAGAACACGTTTACCCGAACGGCGTGTACTCTCTTCTCAAAAGTGGACCGACACCCAATCGCACACCGAACAAACCGTGTATCGTCTTTTTTTTTTTTAATATATATATTATCCGCCGCGATACACTTGGGATCACAGTAAAATCGCGAGTTCACATTCGTTCAGAAATTCTTTTGGTTATCGCTCGTCATCCCCCTATTTTAATGTCCGGTCTCGCGCCAGCGATTTTCTGACGGCCAATGCGTTGGCGAACGATTTATCAAAAAGTTCTAAAAAATATATCAAATGGAAAGAATTGAACGCATTTCAGCGTCTAACGTCGACCCCAGAATTTCCAAGAAAATCAGATTAACCCCTTGCGCTACAACGTCGTGTCAAATTCGTAATGGATGAACAGAATCTATCGCACGGAGACATTACGCAGCTGTTAATCGAAATATAATCCAATTTGTCTGTTATCAATACTTGATCATTACAGTCGACACGGATACGGAACAAAATTAAATTTGTCTACTTTTGTAAGAATATATTAATTGGAAAGATATCGTAATTATTGTAGAAGTGAAAGATATCGTATCTCGGCCAAGCTGCTAATATAATTAGTAATTGCGTTCTAGAGATCCTAGTAAAATTCAATCCGTTCGAATATATGACTATACAAATGAATTTTGAAAACTAGTTTGAAACATTTGTGTCATCCATATGTGACCGACGCGGCACTCAACGTATCAGTCGATGAAACCGAATCTTATTAGAGTGGCCACTGTCTCAACGCCAGACTGCGGATTTTACGTATTTCTTTTTCTTTTCATTAGGCAATTCTTTTCATTCTAACTTCCGACTCGTTCGATTTCAGCGATACTCGTTTCACTTTTATTCGATTTGTACCGGGATCAGAGGCAATCGCTGTCACGGCGCCGGCTTGCGCGTTATTAATCGTCGTCTTATATTTAAGAGCGTCTCTTGTTCCACAGTTTTGTTTCAGCGAGATACGAACGGGACGTATTGTAAGTATACGCCGTCGATGGAGGTGGTGTCCTTAAAAATCTACGTTTTTTCTTTTTTTTTTTTGTTTACCGATCGCGCCTGCGCAATCATCCTAGCTATTGTCTGGTATGCAACAAGCGTATATTGACTATACGTTTCCACTATGGTTTTGATTTCTTTTCCTCTTACTGGCGTTACTTTTTTTGTTTCGAACTTCCACGTTTTCTCGGTTTGTACTACGGATGCCAATTCACGCTACTCGCCCTCTTCCTAGATACTTCTACCGGGCACCTAAGAGAGATTTCTTTTTTTATTAAGCTTTCCCCGCGAAAAAGTCGGGAGAGACTTGTCTCTTCGTTCTTGCCCTGCGGACGGGCAATCGGGGCACAGATACAAGGATTAAATGGCGAAACTGTGGGCTAATTAATTCTCTTGCGGATGCAAGGGATCGTCGAGTCGGAAAAATCACATTTTGTTCGCAAGAGTTCCGTGTAATTAAAATGATTGCGAGGGAGAAGAACGAAACGTTTCCATGAGCGCAGAAAAATGGACAATTTGGGAAGAAGAGATACGATTATTCGAGCCTTGCGTCTCGTTTTTATAGTTGTTGACAATCGGTGACTGTAAAAAGGAGCCGCGAGGCTCGAATAATCGTATCTCTTCTTCCCAAATTGTCCATTTTTGAGCGCAATCTCAGCGCGAATTAGGGAGAAATTACTGTAGTTCTCATAGCAAACCTCAAGACATTCTTGCTCCAAAATACCGGCACCCTAAACGATTCATATCCAAAAAAAGTTGGATACTGAAAAACATGATCATAAAACAAAATATAAATATATCGAAAAATCAACTAACTTTTCATTTTGATAGTGAACTGGTAAGTGTTTTCCCTTAACACAAATCTAGTACAGTTACTGTAAATGAAACTGAAAATACTGTAATTTACTGAAATTACTGTAAATGGAAACTGAGAACTTGTTTCGCGCTTCCAAAGTCTTTTTTAGTTCAGTTTTGATATTTGATATTTTACTAAAATTTGATATATCTCATATGCAATTATTAATTATCGTATACATAACAATGAAACAAACTGATTATGACCCATTCTTGCGGTGGAAATTAATTCTTCGGTTCTGAATTTCTCATAAACTATTTCGTTGGCGCATTAATAAACACGTAAACATGTACACGTGACACGTGGTAACGTGCTAAAGGAAGACCAGTGTGAAATAATACATTGAACGAAGAGATAAATCATTTTATTAATTTATAAAATGTAGAGTTTAACCGGGTTCAATAAAGTGTAACTTCGCGTCTCTGTGAGACCAACAGCGAAGAAATATTTCCCCAGAAATTGCGTACGAAGTGCTGCTACTTTCTAATATCGTATCGCTACGAGTGTTCATTCAAAGGGTAATTTCGATATAACAACAGTAATTTTGTAACAACGTTAACCCTCGCAGGGCGGTGGCCGTGCCAATTTCAACCCGAAGCATTTAAATCGTTCACTTAGTTATTCAATTTTTGACAATTAAATAAAATAAATTGCTGTTACATTAGGAACAACGGGAAAGAAATATCCGCAAGAAATATCTTCAAAATTATGTTCCGAGAAATTGCTGAACAGAGCTCAGGATAGTTATAAACATCGTCGATGGTACAGTTGTGAAAAATGGCCCGTCGTCGGAGGGTTAATTACAGTTTTCGCCGGACAAAAAATAATTGTTCATCCGAAAAAATAGTAGTAACACGCGTCTCGACCGGAGACAGATCGCCATTCAATCGAAGAATCTGCGGGACGACCGCCCGTTGCATCCCGTTGCGCTCGGAGCCCGATCGCTTCGATAATCCAGGCAAGGATATGTAATATCAAACGGTGTGAAATGTTAATCGATAAAAGTTTCGGATTAAATTGCAGAGCGTCCTCCGACGTAGCCACTAAAAAACCGTCTTGAGCGTCCGGTTCCGCCTAAAATTGATCACGCAGACTAGCGTCCTCCAGGAGGATCCTCTATTCGTTCGAATGCGTAGATAAAACGAAAGGAAAGATACGCCGCGCGACACGTTTCGCGCGCCCTATCCGTGTGATATACATATACGGTAATCGTTCGGATATCACAGTTTATCGAGTATATGATATGTAGTCAGCGATTTAATCGATAAGTCGTCGATAAGTAATAAAACTTCTGTATATGTCTCTGTCTCTGTGTGCGTGCGTGTATTGCGCGTACTGCCGGCGGATCACTGGTAGACGTTCGTTTAACAAGCGACACCAGCAGGTGAAAATCGCTAAAAGTTACCTGTATCATTTCTCGCTGATATTCTGCAGCAATATTCTGGTATCCAAAAGACGCTTCTGTTTGGCACTCTACTGTTCTCGCGAGGATCGTACTTGGTCTATAGTTTGGCAAAGCGGAGGAGACGATTTTAAAGAGGAATCGGCGCATCGAGAATATTGGCAGGGAGAAAGAAGTGTGCGCGAATAGAAAGGGTGCTTGAGTGGATAGTTCGGGGAATTTGAATCGAAAGTAAAGAACTACGAGCAAGCAAACAGCTTCGATTAAAGAGAGAGAAGAATTCGCAAGTCAATCGTAGAAGAGCGTTTCATTGAAGATACAGTTCGAAGTATGTGTCTGCTATGAAAGAAGAGTTCATGCGCATAGGCGAATATAAGCATTCGACTGAAAAGAGAACAGAGAAAGTATGTACACCCCCCTCCAAAAGTATTCGGACACCTGCCGATTAATAATAATTAAATAATAAATTGTATCTTTTCATTCGGTAATATCTGCTGGTTTTACGTTATCGTATTGTCGAAAATACATAGTTATAAGCGATTGTCACTTATTTTGTTCGTTGAAAATGTATTTTTCGCTTGGTACGACAATGTGTTTTTTTTAATACGCGGAACACGCTACAAAATGTACGGATAAAATCGGAAATAATAGAAAACTAATAAACCGGACGTCGAGGTTATTAAAAGATCCGCGAAGTAATGAAAAAACGCGGCGGATATATCAACGTAAAGAAAATTGAATTTCCTTTCATAAAATTCACGTTATCGTTTTATTATAACGTAAAATACGTGTATGCATTTGTTACAGTTTAATACAATTAACTTCGACATAAATTGAAGAAATTCTAACGACTTCCTATCGGTTTTTCAAATCTATCTAATTTTCTGTAAGTGTCCTGATATACTTTTGGAGGGACTGTACCTACGAACAGATGGAAAGCGGGATTAAGATGGGGAATAGAACGTACTTTATTACGAAGTACCTACAAGTAGAGAGAAAAAAAAGAAAAAGAGAGAGAGAGAGAGACTATTCTAGAAACAGAGAGATGTAGAAAGTAGAAATATGAAGAAATAGAAAGAAGTATCGATATCTAGAGTTCGAGCAGAGAGCAAAAAGTTCTCGAATAGAGTACGAGTCGAAAAAAGAGAGGTACATTCAGGAGAAAAGGTAGAAGAGCAGCCGAAAAGTCGAAGAGGGAGCGCGACTCGGGAGAAAAATGTAAGTGTCCTGATACTTTTGGAGGGACTGTACCTACGAACAGATGGAAATCAGGATTAAGATAGGGAACGAAACGTACTTCATTACGAAGTACCTACAAGTAGAGAGAGAGAAAAAAAGAAAAAGAGAGAGAGAGACTATTCTAGAAACAGAAAGATGTAGAAAGTAGAAATATGAAGAAATAGAAAGAAGTATCGATATCTAGAGTTCGAGCAAAGAGCAAAAAGTTTTCGAATAGAGTAAATTCGACTTCGACTATTCGGGAGAAAAGGTAGAAGAGAAGCCGAAAAGTCGAAGAGGGAGCGCGACTCAGGCGAAAAAAAATATTACGCCCGGCGTATAGACCTCGCTGTCCATTTTACCGATAACTCTTTAATCCCATGCAGCCTCGCATTGGCAAACGCCGCCGACAGCACGGTGCGTCCTCCCGTGTGCATGCAGATGCGCGCGTCCCTCGGCGTATCGAGCGGACACGCTCGTTTTGCAATAAACGTCCGCTTGAACGTCGGATGAAGTATGCAAAGTCGAAAAATACAAACTGGCCAGAGGCGTAACTAGACACGGGTCGTGCAGCCCGGAAGCGTACCAAGATTCGTTGAGAGAATATGTCCCTAAAGCGTATACGAAGAGTGCGCCGGAAACCGCGTGCCTCGATCCTCCTCTCCGTAGGATCTCGCCGCCCTTATGGAGCGGCGCTCGCTCTCGCGCTAGCGCGCGCGCGCGCGCGTTCTCTCTTTCTAGCCTCGATAAAAGTCGCAAGCAGCGCGGGCCGGCCTAACACCGTGATAGTACACGCTGGTGTATGAAAATAAGTGACTTTTATAAAACCGGGAACGAGAAGATCGTATCTGACCGATATCGCCGGCCGGTTTTACGAGTCAGCGAAACGACCCCTCGTAAAAGGCTCCCTTCTTCTTCGTCTTCTCCTCCGACTGTTGCCCGACGACGGTCTTTCTGTTTTGCGGAAAGTCCTACTCCCGCTCGACACGCTCGAGATCAGACTCGATTAGCCGACTCGAACGCTTCTTCGAGAGAACGACCCGCGGCGGCGTCGCGTCTCGACCGGGAGACACTCCTTGGATCGCACCGATGATGGCCATTGGATACCTCTCGACGACGTCCGCAGATATTTTCTGTTCGAGGCCTCAGAGCGTGGCCCTGTCCGACTGCACGCAGCCGGCGCGGGCGCGTCGTCAGCGTTTCTTGAGGAATCAGAAGCACACGGACGGCCTGTACAAACCGGTGTAGCCGCATAACCGGGCCCGCAACGCCGGCAACAGTATGGCCGCCGCGGATAGATTGTCTTGCAACTGCGAGCACTCGCAGATCAGTAGGTACATCTTGTCGCCCTGTGACATCGACTTGTGCAGCGTGATGCGCCTCAGGCCCACCGATTTTGGCAAGTATCGGTACATCATGCGAGCGCCTGGAACAGAACGGTTCGATTTTGCTCGATCGGCTGTGGAGACTTCGATGACCGGCGCGGGCCATTTTGGATTAGACCGCGAGCGCAGCTGAGCCTGACGAAGTTATACGTCTTCGGGCTCCTTAATTTGATCGATTTTATACGTCGGTGGTTAGACTGTGGATTTTATGCTTTTATGGCAAAAATAGCGAACAGATTAAAATAAATTAAGAACGTTGACGTATTAATTCGAACTTATTGAAATTATTTGAGAAAGGAAAAATATTGCACGCGTCGCCCATGTCTTGAAATTGACGTAGACAATTTTGATTTTGCATAAAAATCGGCGGTCTATTTATGACGCTAAATCTACCGATTTATAAAATTGATCAACCTGTGTTGCACGCTTTCTACATAGATGCAATTCGTAGACTGTGTACGTTAGTGCAAATGTAGACTTTTACACACTTTGGAATTAAAAAATAATTATATAATTATATTATATTATATTATATATAATTATATAATTATATTATATTATATTATATATAATTATATAATTATATATTATATTATATTATATATAATTATATAATTATATTATATTATATTATATATAATTATATAATTATATTATATATAATTATAATTGTTTACTTATAATTATATTATTATTATTTAATTATTAACAACACCTTCCCTGTAAAGCTGCATAATATTCGCGAAATTTATCTATTTTTTCCTATTTCAGTACCGTGAATTTATTTTTGGTACTTCTAGATGTTTAAAAGGTAATTTTGCATGTTTAACGAACAAAGAAATTCATTTGGCAATGAAAAAAATAAAAGCATAATAGAAGAAATAAAGTAGCAGAACAAAATCCATTTGGCATAGAAATGAGTTTCAGCGTGTACCGTAAGCGTTGTATGAGAAAAGGAAATTGGAATAAAGAAGTACCGGTCCAATAGAGCCAGTTCTGCTCGAATTTGAGGCCGTCATCGCCCTCGAACACCTTGAAGATCGAAACGATGTAGCCGGTGGACGGAATCGGTGGTCTGACACCAGGTGGTTCCAATGGGGGCCTCGCGATCGTTGCTACCTCGTTGAACAGATCCAACGTGTGACTTGCCGCGTACCGGAGATCCCGCGGGTCGAACTTCCTCAGGGCGGCGCATTGTACCTCGTTGTAAAAGTCCACGGGATCCGTGTTCTGTTTGTTTATTAGGTAGTACGTGATGAATGGGAAATCGGCTGAAATTATTATACCAGTCGCAAATAAATCACAAATAAGTCACAACTGCATCTTCCCGTTCCTCGTTCGCACCTTCCCTATCCAGACCGTTTGCCAATCTTCGCATAATCTTCGAAATCGTTTATCGAACCATCGGTAACCGTTTTTCGAATGTTTTCGAATCCGACGATCGACGTCTATTTCGTACCTCGACCCTTGTACGATCGTTAAAAATGATTAACCCTTTAGAGGCTTGGATTAAAGTTCGCGCTATACATAGAGTCTACATTTTTTTATACGAATAAAATATTATTGTATTAATATATTTTTATTATTTAATTAATATATTTTTATATACGAATAAAAATATCAATGTTTGCATGTGAATTAACTACGAATTAAGAAATTTAAAGAGATTGAATTTTAGTTGAGGTTAAAGTTAAAAATTTTAATGTATAATCGATTTTGAAAGAGAAACGGAACGAAATATTTTGACACGTGGCTACAAATGAAATTTAGCTGGAAACAAAGACACGATAAACAGGTACGTAACAAAGTTATACCGAGCCGCGGATGGTTAAGAAGCTACTCGGGTCATTTTCATTTGCGCGATTATTCCTAAGTGTTCGAAGAGTTGTAAAGATATATAAAGTAAATTGAGTATTGTTTTTTTTTTCAATTCGAAGCATCTCAAATTATGTTGAATGGACTTGGGCTCCTTCAAATTTTATAACGAATCTGGTTGTTAATTTTGAAAGTGGCCTAACTCCATTCTTGGTAAGAAAACGCATATTGTTTACTTAATAATTGCCATTATTTCAATAGGAACCATAAATTTAACTCCTTTAGATACACTTAAGCAGTATGACTCATTAGTATCCTGTACGTATATTTTTTAATTGCATTGAAACACAAACCCTTAAATATCTCAATTTAAGTATAAATGGACTTTAGGCCACACTTACAAAATAAACGGTTCAAGTACATGAAATTAGGTCATCAGGTTTCTAGGATCTGATAGCAGAAATTACGTGAAAGGGAGCATCAGGGTTAAAAATTACAGCGACAATTTTATACAGTGTCCCACAAAAGTATTCGTACACCTTTTGAAACGCAATAACTATTTTAAAACTGAACTAAATGACTCGAATTTATTTTAGATGATAGAGAGACTAGTCTACTAAACGATGACTGAACTGAGTTACCGAGATTTATAAAAGGCATTTTTAAAATTGTTGTTATAGGTTCAAATAAAGAAGTTAAGAAACAAGGGATTTTAATTTTTTCTTTTCATTGCAAGTAATAGCAAAATTAAAAAAAAGCTCTTTATTCATCGTCTAGTAGCCTACTCCCTCTGTCATCTAAACAAAATTCAAGTCGTTTGGTTCAGTTTCGAAAAAGCTATTGTGTTTTAAAAGGTGTACTTTTGTGGGCCCCTGTACATAATAATTCAAGTCGCCACGCATCGTCGAGTTTTCAACGAAACCTGACTTGAAAGGGGGGTAGAAGTTCCCGAAGAATGAGAATGAAGAAATGGAACGGTTGTGCCAAAAGAAAACAGCGGGACAAACAAAAATGATTGTACAGTTTAAAATATCGCCGAATAAATGGCACCAGCCGGACACGCCAGAGTTCCCAAGTAAATCCACTATACAATATTGTTACGGCGACTTGTCCAAATCAAGTCGCTGTAATGTGAAACTGCCCTGTTGTGAGCAACTCCATAAAGAAAAATAGAAGAGAGGGGTTGCCACGGAGGTGTTTTATCAACGGACAATCGAGGAGTCGGGATCGGACCGTCGAGCGATCAACACCATCTAAATCAAAGATCTCTAACATAGTTTAATTCAGTTGTATTATAGTTCGTGTTCTCTATTGTAAATAAAATGCCGCGACGCGGAAGAAGTGTCGCAATTCGTAACAATATAATTGTCCAAGCTCGAAACATTCTTCTTGGAATGTACTCGTCGAAATGAACACCGATTCAACGAGACTGCCAACGAAATCGGGCGAATTTCGCGGAGCAGCGGTCCAATTGTAATTTTTACGTCGTCGCGACGCCATTTGTCGTCGGCGGTACCAAAATCTATCTTTATGGCAGTCGGTGGAGCGTTATGCTTTGCCGCCTCGTTACCTCGAAGTATGTATACGGAATTCAGCCGGCGTCTTCGGATACTGTTGCCCCGCATTTATCAACGCGGCGCAGAGCGGTCGCGTTACCGTCGCGGCGCGATCCGTCAACCCTAGTCTACAAGGTGTCGCTCGAATTACCATTTTTCTCCATGTTCGTGAGCAGAATGCTCTGGGAAGCGGATGGCGCTATTTCCGCGACCAGCTCGGCGGCGGTGTCCCGTTGCAAGACCAACGGACGGGAGACCGGGGACTCCATCAGGGGGTCCAGGGGTTCCAAAGGCGTCATGAAGTGCGCGAGAACACATTGCTTCGGGTCCTCGACCTCGAGGACCGACAAAGGACTTCCGGGCCTCTTCTTGTCCGCGATTGGCGCGTGCTGCAACCAATCGCGATTCTATCGTCAACCAAAAAACACGATTAATTGACCCCCGGGTGTCTTCGACCTTGCTTCGTAGGTGAATCAGGGTGGAGACTCTAAAACAGTGTTTTCCAACATTTATTATGCCCCACTTCAACGTCTCAGCATAATGGTAAACCAACTTCTGAAATAGTTTATTATTGACGCTAGAACTACTGAGACGTAAACGCGATTAATATATGTAGGGGGTACCAAAAGTGTCTCGCAGTTCGGAAATGAGGCGTTCCTCGAGTCGTTTGAAGGAACTTTTTCCTTAGCGAAAATGCAAGCCGCGCCGTTGTTTACGAGTTATTAACGAAAATCGGTGACCAACGAGAGGCGAGATTAGTTGGCGCGAGACTGTCGGAGCCAATGAATGGAACTGGGCTTCGCGCAATCGTTGGCTGGGCCGCCTCGCGTCAGCCGAGCTCGCCTCTGATTGGTCAGTGGTTTTCGTTAATAACTCGTAAACAAAGCTGCGGATTGCATTTTCACTAGAGAAGGAGTTACTCCAAATGATCTGAGGAACCCCCCATTTCCAGATTACGAGACATTTTTGCGACACCCCGTATTGGTTTATAACAACAAGATTGGATTTATTTAAACTTCGTACAGTGTTTATTATAATGTGTATGGTTGATTAAGAAAGTTTATCTAAAAATTTTTCGTAGAAACATTTTTATAGTATCAGGAATTTGTTATAAAAAATTCGGAAACCACTCATTTTGATTGGATTGGTAATTCTGAGGTCAATAAGTGTTTCAAATAAAAGAGACACATATGTAGAACTTCTAATAGTTTCTTAAAAATCGAGGTTCAATAATTAAGAATTTCATATAATATTCTTCAAAAGCTATAGTAATCGTAATCGATCGAATTATTTAAATTAATATGATGGAACAAGTTCTTTTGAAATTATTATAAAAAAAAATTATCGAGCTTCTCTTAAACACAGTTCAGTCATTGAAGAGCCTATTATTAATAGGCTTCGATGAATAAAGTGTTAAGTTGATTTTGTTTAATGTTGTACGTCACGAGCTTGTATTGCAAAGAATCTTTATTTGAGATGTTAATGCAGTAAATTTGTTTATTTTATGTCATTGTTTCTTTTATGTTGAATCATGTTCTAATAAAATTCTAATTTTTGCACAGTGCTCACGCACTAATTTATATAAACTGTCTGGTGTCGTTGAATCGACTATAGTATAATGTTACCATTAATCTTCTTTTTTTCAGAAAGTTAAAATTGCAGTATGGTCACTTATCCTCAACAATTATAGTGTAATTATTCTCGTAGATATAAAAAACTGTCTGTCAGTGAGGCACACGGCACGCGTTTGGAAACACTGTCCTAAAATCTTCGGTTCAGATCAATGATTTTCAATATGTAATAATTTGTTGTGGATGTTTATTTATACTTTATTTCTATCAGGATGTGAATATAAAGTATATCGATAAAATGATAATGGCTGTTGACTTTTCAACAAATGTAAAATGACGGGTTTATGTAAAAATTATAACAAGAATGACCTCTTTCTTATTAAACCGTCGACGTTATTTACATTAAAAACATCCGCAGCTTTCCTCCTGCAAGATGGCGGACGGCTGGGAAGTGGGAACAAATATTATTGGAAGACTTAAGGTTTTCAGAATCCATAAAAGTAATGTTTAAAATCAACACGGGAAAACAGGGCTTTGTTTATTCCTGCAGCTATTGTTCCGCGAACGAAGTTATTCCTGAACTTTCTCTCTCTCTCACCCTCTCCCTCTCTTTCTCTCTCTCTCTCACCCTCTCCCTCTCTTTCTCTCTCTCTCTCTCTCACCTTCTCTCTCTCTCTCTCTCTCTCTCTCTCTCTCTCTCTCTCTAACAAAAACAAAATGATAGAAGTTGCTCGACGTTTTTTGAATTATCTAGTGCGAACTACCCTTGTCGGAGTTAAAATCAACACCCGTTCCGAGAATAAAAATAAAGGAAAAATGTAAGGTATACTTCCGTTGAGATTAGTATACCGTCACTTCCGACACGTCGACGCGTCCGACGGTTCTCCGGCACGGTGGCCGTAGGTTTCATCTATTTTCGAGCGTGCGAGGCCAGGTCGACAAGGTCGTAACTGGTCGCGNTCTCTCACCCTCTCCCTCTCTCTCTCTCTCTCTCTCTCTCACCCCCTCTCTCTCTCTCTCTCTCTCTCTCTCTCTCTCTCTCTCTAACAAAAACAAAATGATAGAAGTTGCTCGACGTTTTTTGAATTATCTAGTGCGAACTACCCTTGTCGGAGTTAAAATCAACACCCGTTCCGAGAATAAAAATAAAGGAAAAATGTAAGGTATACTTCCGTTGAGATTAGTATACCGTCACTTCCGACACGTCGACGCGTCCGACGGTTCTCCGGCACGGTGGCCGTAGGTTTCATCTATTTTCGAGCGTGCGAGGCCAGGTCGACAAGGTCGTAACTGGTCGCGGTTACAGAGAAGACACTAAGGCCAATAACTCGAGCATTCCGGTTTTAGCAGGTGTGCTCCCAATCCGTGTAGCTCCGTTACGCAGAAACTTTCCGAACGATGAAATTATTACCCGCGACGACAGAGTTATACCGCGACCCGATTCACGAAACATCAAACGGTCTAACATTCTCGAGAAACGTCGGCTAAACGTGCTAACGCCGGCGGTGAATGGCCGATGAAAGCAGTTAAATACGTCGATCTGTTCCAAAAATAGCCATTAAGTCGATAAACGTGTCAATGAAAGTGCATATGAAATTGTTAATAGAATTGTATATAAAATTTTCAGTAGGATTGTACATGCAATGTTCAATAAAATCGTAACCGAAAAATTAAAGTTTGTGACAGCTGCAGAGGTCTTTATAATCTATATAAATGTGGACTTATCCGAACATAAATTACGGAAACGTGAACTCTCAACAACGAAACAAAATAAAATATAAAATACGAGAAAGAAATTTCTATTAATTTTTAACGTATCTCGTGAGAGAATTTATTCGCGGTTGGCGGAGAAGTAATCTCGGTTTCTATGGATGCATAAGTCAAATACCGTACTTTCCAAATTAATAAACCGATAGTGGATGAAAATCATACAAGATTATGTTCGATTACTTCTGAGGAACATATAAGGCTTTATGAGACTAAAAGATACTCCTGTTAAAAGAAAAGAAAAGAAGAATTGCTAATATAACGTGTTCTTCACTCTTTTTCAAAATGTTTAACAGGATAAGCATTCGAAAACGACTCCCACGTCATTTTTCACTTTCTTTTGTTAAGCAATGTTTTTCGCCTACAACACAATTCTGAAAAATTTCTGACCTCTACCTGTGCAAAAATAATAGAAATCGGGAACATAGAATAACTTTTAAAATTATGTAATAATGTTTCACCAAGTCGATTACCTTGAATATTTTCCTGACTTTTTAAAGGGTGGTCAACCAAAGGCTTGGTTGCGAAAATCATCATTGAAAAATAAATTATTCTCGTTCATCTCTTAACAACTGATTTTAAATTTTCGATTTAGTTAGATTGCAGTTTTAATCAGCTTTCTTCATCTAAATATCTTAAGTAACATTAAGTATGTCATTCCTTTCAATCTACATTATTGCCGTATCATATGATCGTTTTCATTGGATGCATAAGAAATTGAATTTGTTGGCCTACAGAAAACTTCCATGCTTCTTTAAAAAATTTTTTTAAATACCGAGTACAAACTTAAATAATGTGAAAATTCTTTTGAAATATAATATAACAGTTTTTAGTGCCGTCTCAGAGTCGCCGATCGAGTGCGAAGGGTTAAAGTGCAGCCTTTCCAATCCCGTGTCATCCTTAACACGTAAAGTGCCGAAAATCATCCGAGAAATTCACACAAAATTGAAGGAAACTATTTAACGAAATTGTAACTAATTTAAAATTTATCATAGATGATGGTATTTTAACTGTTCTGCATTCTAGATATACCAGTAATCTCCCAGCTTGTTCGCGAATGTGCTGCAATAAAAAATGAAATTCGAAAACTAGTAACAGAATTAGCTCCATTTAACAATTCGTACTCGTTAGCTTTGTTATTGTTCCTACTAAAAAGTCTAAATATAAATTCTCCAGGTCAAAGTTGACCCAGCCACCGCCTTGCACGAAGTTAAACCAAGGGACAGCAATCTCAAATTTTACAGAAATGTATTGTAAGCAGAAAGCACTGCTTATCGTCACAAGAAAAATGAAAAATGGCTGCCACACATACTCCTATCACCCACGCCAAATCAACAAATATCCACATGGAGAAACAATCCCATTTCCTAAAGTAATATAAGTCAAACTGATTTTACTTCTCCGCAGAGCGAATTCTCTCAGCCCGACGGTACAGTGATTTCCACGCCGTTATGCTCCGCGGTGGCAGACGCTGACAGCCCGCAGCAGAGCCACGTTCCCCGGCGTTAAGTAAACTGTTACAAAAGAGTTACCAGGCGAAGTAAATTCGTGACACGTACCGGTACTCCGGCCGGTAAAAAGCGTTCGAGGGAGGCGAGGGGGATGATGAAACAGTCTCGGTCCAAGGTGGCCAGAGAGATTGGTTCGCCTCGCGGAGGACTGTTCCCGGAAACCACCAGGGGCGTGTATGCGCCGGATGCCCGGTTCCCGCTGAAGGAGACCTGTGCGCACCATACAACAACTGGATAATTAACTCCGCGGGACTCGACGAATTACCCTGAAAGCTCGCGAACTCGTTTCTTCGCGTCGGGAACGAGGCGCTTTTGCCCCGACTTCCAGCAATTAACCTGTTAACCCAGCGATTCCGCGAAACTAATCGCGCTGGATAATAAGCGATCTATAAGCAATCTTTGTCGCTGGAAAAGCAATGGGAAACGATCCGCAGCAGCCAATTCGCTAACGATGACCGCAGAATAAATTGCGGATCGGTGCCATTTATTGGATCGTGTCATAAGTAACTTCCGATGCGGCCGGGTAGAATATGAGCCGTTTACTTTGAAAGTGGCATAAGTCACTTTTTGTTTTTAAGTCGATATATTCGAGGGTTCGCGTTTTAACACGTTTCGAAATATGGATGCTAACTTTCGAGAAGATTTACTTGTATTTGTTATCGCAGGATACTGATATTCTTCTCAGTATAAATAATTTCGTGTAAACATTAAACAAATCACCACTTTTCATTACGGTAAAGTGACTTATGCCAGCTTCAAAATAAACGGCTCGTATATTGTCCGTGTCTATCCACTATGAGTCACTGGGACAAACGAGTTTTTGCTTTCGCTAAATAGACAAGGGTTCGAAATGGATAAAATAAAAAAACTGAAAAGCTAAATAACAAAAAAGAAACGAAATAAGTGTCTGATAAGAAAGGCAGTTATTAATGACTCGTCCTAATATAATAGGGAATAAAAGTATCCATTTTTGACGCTATTTCATGCACAAGAATATACTAGAATGTTCAGAATACACAAAAAAGTTAAAATACCGTTCACTATGATCAATTTGAACTGTTCAATCTCAGTTTCATTAATTATATTGCAAATTTTTAGGGTTGATCTTCGGCACCTAATGTGTTAACGTGGTCGAAGAAATGGTAGAGTTCATGAAATCGAGAGAAGCATATTTCTAGTTAATTCTGTGCAATATTTATGCAATTAATTAATACAGTCTAAAAATGTGTATTGAGTTTGATGAAAATAGTGGAACCTGCTTGTTATATTTTTAATTAACATTGCTTGGTTGCAATTAACCCTCTACCCTGTAAATCTTTCTCTGATATGATTAGTGTTTATATGTCAGTTACTTGTATGTTAAAGTAAAATTTATATTAATATATATTTATATAATAATATTATTATATTATTTTAAATAATATATATAATATATAAAATAATATTATTATTTTAAATAATATTATTTTATATAATATTTATATAAAATATATATTAATATATATTTATATATTCACATTTAGTACATTCTATTTGAAATCTTCGTCGCTTTAAGTCGAGTACAAAGAAAACTGCTTCTTGAGTCAGACAAATATTTATGGCGCCATTTGTTCCTCTGGGTCAACAGATTAACGACTGGCAAAGAAAACGCGCAATCAAAAAATAAAGAAGCGTTGAGCATGCGAGTCTCACATATAAGTCGCTAAAAGTACCAATTCCTTAGAATGTACTCAACGATAGCAAATAGATGCTATCTACTTGCATCTATTTCAAGCATGCATTTCAATTTAACAGACAAACTAATCAAATAGTACAACTTAACGAAAGTCTACAATTTACAGTTAGTGACTCCTAAATAAATTGTTTAGTAGCACTAACTGTGTCAATCGTGCTGCAACAAGTCGTCTCTAGTATCGTTGTCTAATAATTTTCATTGGGATTGTCATGTGGGAAAAGATTGCTTAGATTCTTCTTAGTTTAGCACAATAATTGAAAATTCCATTAACTCCTAAATTATTGTGGGCGCCTATGGGCACCTTGAAAACTTGCTTCTGATGTACTATTAAGCCCCATAGGCGCTCAGCATATTTAAGCAAATTGTTGAAGAGTCTGTAAGTGACCCTCAATTTTTGTTAGAAATTATTATTATTGTTGTTGGAATGGAATTGTTTCAATGGTTAGTTATAAATGAGTGTGAGATTAATAGCTTCGTGAGGATAAGTATGGTGTAAAAGTAGAAAGTTTAAAAAGACTAGGGATCCAACTGCATCCTACGAAAGTTTATTAATTTTTTATTTATTGTTGTTTATTTCTTAGTTTTAAATATTATCAAGAAGTTTTTCATTTATATTATATTAAATAAACTTTTATATTCATATGAACCACGCGTTCATTCAACAATTATTATTATCTAAATAATATTATTTTAATCTAAATCTGAAAAGTACACAGTATAGAGGTTGTTGTTAAACTATCAAATGCCATGTGTACAATTTCTGTCGAAATCTGTCGTAGCCAAAGGGATCATAAACTTCCGGTAGATAATGTGTTAAAATTAACACATGAATTTTTAACTAGATTTTGAAATTCATTGTTATTGCAATATGTACAGTGGCCCAAAAAAGTGTTCGTACACCTTCTAAAACGTAATAACTTCTCCAAACCTCAACTAAGTGACTTGAATTTTTTTTAGATGATAGAGGGACTCGTGTCATAGATCGATAGAGGGACTGAAATGCTTTTTTTTTAAAATTTTGCTATTAGTTGGGATGACAAAAAAAAAAGAAACTTTCGTTTTTTAACTTGTTCAGTTTCAGAAAAGTTATTGCCTTTTAAATGTTGCACGAACACTTTTGTGGGCCACTGTATATTCGAACAAACTAGACGCTAGTAGTAAATAGTTGAAATAACTGCGGTAAATTTTAACTTTCTAGTTTCGGTTTTATTAAATTGAACGGCTTTTTGGAGTTGATATTCGACACTTAACGCGTTGAATTGAATTTTAGCGAATGAATCCGACTGCACGTCCCGCGCAGTTGGTACGCGAATATTAAAAGAGGCGAACGTTTCCTGGCACACAGGACGCGATAAACTGGCCAAGAACGACCAATATCCTTGCGCATGGGGGTGGAATAACGATCACGCGATCACGTACAAGTCCGAACTAACGTGTTCCCTTACCGCCGCTCGTAAACAGAAACTCCGACGTTGCGGATCTTCTCGTATTTACCGGTTTTTCGAGCAACGGTCCGAGCTTGTTGCATTTTTAACTGGGAACGGAGTTCGGGTAGCAGAGGTACGGCACCCCCGAGTAACAAGTGAATTTCGAAGTCAATACCGCCAGACCTTTATGTAGGTTAATTTGGTTCCTTTCATTGTTCCCCGAGCCGTTTCGACGTTACCTGGCTGTGATTTATGGCGACACGCGAACGCTACTCACTGTTCTTGACATTTTGTACGAAGCGTGACGACGATGACGACTGCGGTCGCGGAGATCGTAAAGACGACGGAGCCGAGCTTCGTGCTAATTCGATCACCGGCTGGGTCCCTTCTGACCCCGATTCTGAGGGACTCATCCTTGCGATCGGACAAAAAATCGAAACAGTGGCTTGGAGAAGCATTTTCCGACTTCTAAGGTTGTCGATGCGTATGATTATGTTTATAATTATGTGAATAATTATGTTTATAATTATGTGAGTAATTATGTTTATAATTATGTGAATAATTATGTTTATAATTATGTGAATAATTATGTTTATAATTATGTGAATAATTATGTTTATAATTATGTGAATAATTATGTATATAATTATGTTTATAATTATGTGAATAATTATGTATATAATTATGTTTATAATTATGTTTATAATTATGTTTATAATTATGTGAATAATTATGTAGACAAGAATCATATGATGTAAAGCTGGTATGCAGTCTTTATAGTTACACCATATCGTTTATTTTTTTTAAAGATTTTATTGTATGGTGTAGGACATGTGAATTTGAAGACACATTGTTTCTCGTAAATGATTAAAACGCTTCTGACATGTTTGGATGTTGAGGGTGGATCTAATGTAGACATACCATCGTATAGAACAATAATAGTATCTTTATTTTGCTTTTACAACAAGAAACCTTCTAGCCAACGAAACACGCCGTTTTTTATTTATATTCGTATTTACACTATTATTAATTATTATGTTCTTTATTTATACTACAATTAACACTAAACCTACCGAGCTCTTAAATTGGCTGCCGCGTGTTATTTTATAAGAACAACGAGGCTGAATTTATTGCGACCTAACGCCATTTTTATCATGTCTGTTGCTCGAATTGAGGAGTTTACTAAACGAGAGAGACTTCATAATTTTGATTATTATAATACAAAAAATGTGAAACCGGCCTAAAATCGGTTTACTGTTGACTCCAAAAACGGAGACCGGCACGAAGATTTGAACCAACAGTTGCCAGCCAGAAAACACGCCTTGAGACTCGCTCCGTGATTCTTCTAACGAGTAACATTTTGCGACAGCTCTATCACCGCAAACGTCAACAGGAGAACCACGAGCTAAAAGACATCGAATTATATTTCGTAATCCTAGAACGTGCTCGAAGAGATCCGAGGTCCTCAGCGTCGACGCACGGAATAATTTCCACTCTAATTTCCCGTCCTGTTTTTTACCACGTTTGACAGAAGATCTCTGTCGCATGCTGTTCACGGCGCGGGCACATTTCACCGTCGGGGGTGGAGAGACCTCGACGTCGCTCCGGATATATTTACATTTGCGGCGAGACCGCGTCGGGAGTGAACGCTGCACGATGCACCCCGGTCGCTGCATCCTGCCAATGCTGCAGAAGTTGGCCTGACAGATGGCAGTTCGCTTTACGTCTCACGGAGCGAATTCCTGGCGAAACATCTTTACGTTCAGCCCGGTGATGTCGTAAAGCTTGAACACTGTTGCTGCTACGCACAGTGTTTGCAAACTGGCTACCACAAAATTGATTCTACGACCGCTTTTTACTATGCAGTTCTCGGGCTCCCCCGGTTACTGAATTTCAAACAGTCCCTCTTCGAGGAGAACCTTCAAACATATTTACTCAAAACGGCATCGAACTTTCCACAAAATATCAATACGTAATGTTACGATGCGAATAGCGTTTTTAGAATTTTTATATGCACAGAGAGGTCTTCGATACGGATTCCTGAAATT